TATCACCTTATGGTCTAGGGTAAGAATGAAGTTAAAATTATATCATTCCCATTATTTGCAAGTATTAGGAAATTGTGATTATTATTTAATTTAATTATTTGGAGAAGGTTCCATCCATGTCAGGTTGCATCACAAGCTATAACAATGACTATTAAGCAACAATATTCTAAGCCATGGCTGACATGGGGTTCAATGACCGATGTTGAAAAAGAGACATTCTTTCAACGATTTAAAGTAAGTTTTCTTATATTTAGGTTGATGAATTATTTTTATTACTTACATTCATTGACACAATTATTATTATTTGTTTTTTTGTGTAAATCATTTGCAAAGAGAAAGGTCACCTGGAGGCCTGAAGATGAGGATAGGATTCGAAAGAATTTTCACTCAAAGGCCTCACATAGGCTATCTCGAAATGTTCAAAGATGCTAGAAGGACAGGTCAAAAGCCCTATTGGATGTTTGATGATGTGTGGAAAACTCTGTTGAACAAGTGGAACTCAATTGATTATCGTGCAAAGTGTGCACAAGCTCGAAGAATCGATCTTCCGAGACGGGTGGTAGTTTACACACAGGTGGTTCTATTAGTATGCATGAACACGCCATTCGTATGGTAAATATGAAATTATAACAAAAGTTTCTTTCTTTCATTTCTTCATGATATGTTATTAATTAATTTTTTTTCCAGGAAAAGGAGTTGGGTCGTCCCGCACATATTGATGAGGTGTTCAAACAGTACTCATATACGAAAGGTTAATGGTGAATTTGTTGATGAAAGGTCTAGAAAAACTCATGTGAGTTGTGAACTTATTTAATATTACTCTATTACTCTCTTATATGTTATGATGGATATGTGTTGTATATCATACATAATTTTTATTTGTATGTGAATAGGAAGAATTTCGTAGAAGATACTCGAGGCTAGATCTGAGGCAAGCATCCCGTGCCGCCGAAACCGAGTCATCTTCATTAGATCCTATAGAGGAGGAGAGAATAAGGACTGAAAGTTGGATTCTTGCTGCATCTAGCAACAAAAAGGGTCGGATCTACGGTGTTGGAGAACTTGCCCATAAGTTTAGGCCCTGAGATACCCTCTCATATTCAAGCATGTACCGATTCTCGTGAGATTACACAATTAAAGAAACAAGTGCTTAGTTATAGGGAGGATAATGAAAGATTGAACCACCAATTACAAACACTTGTCGTTGTTGTCCTTCCTTTACTTCCACCCGATGCCCGACAAGCATTTCAACAACAACATTCCCAACAAGGATCACAACAACAATCACAACAACAATCACAACAGGAGCAAGCAAGTGCAGGAAGAGCAAGAACAACAATCACAAAATGAACCAGCTTTCGTAGAGCAGACCTCAAGATGAACAAGGACATTACTATAATTATTAGGACACTCAAACAATATTGTCATAATATTTATTATAGTACTTCTTTGGATTTGTATGTTCTTAGATATTTGAAGGACTACTTGATGCATGCTAATATTAGGATTTGTGTTTGATATCCGAATATGCATTTGGTGCATATAAATATTATGGAATATTGTTAAATTTGATATCTAAATATTTTATGTGTAATATGCATGCTAATATTAGGATTTGTGTTTGATATCTGAATATGCATTTGGTGCATATAAATATTATGGAATATTGTTAAATTTGATATCTAAATATTTTATGTGTAATATGCATGTAACAGGTAAAATTTAGTTAAATTGGTGGTGATAAAATTTTATAAATTTACTTAGTGATTTTCCTACGGATTTACCTACGGATTTTGAATGAGGTAATTACCTACGGATTGCAATCCGTAGGTAATTACCTACGGAATCTGTTTGTGGGTATTTACCTACGGATTGCAATCCGTAGGTAATTACCTACGGATTCTGTTCATGGGTATTTACCTACGGATTGCAATCCGTAGGTAATTACCCACGAACAGAATCCGTAGGTATTACCCACGGACGACATTACCTACGGATAGTAATTCCGTAGGTAATTACCTACGACCATATTACCTACGGATTTTCTACGGAAAAAAATCCGTAGGTAAAATGACATTACCTACGGATTTTTGCCATTACCTACGGATTTTTGCCGTAGGTAATAGGCTTTTTTTTGTAGTGGAAGAACATAGATATAATGTATAACAACACAATTGATTGCGCACATATTCCAATATGGCAGGGGTTGGAAAAGTGGTAATGATATGGTGTGGTTTGTCTTTTTTCTGATGAGAAAAACGTTATAAAGAACATTACCATTTATCCCCGAGAATTACCTTACTAATAGAGAAATACGAGAAAAATAATCAACACAAGAATATAACGTGAAAACTTCCACAAATCGGAGAAAAACCACAACCGTTATCTAATAATAACCAAATAATAACATTATATGAAAATTTTTACAATACATAGACAATTCTCTCATGTCCTTAACCTCAATTACACCCATACTCTCCAAAGTAAGAATTTAAGCTAAACCTTCCAATACTCTATTACAAGAGTATAAGAAAAATCAATACAAGCTTAAAGTATCTTTAACTAGGGTGTAAAATCTCATGAACTTTAAGTCCATTATATAAATACTATCACTCACTACATTGCTTGTGAGACTTTTTAAAATATAATATTTTTATCAACCGGCATCAATTACTTGAATTGATATTTTTCCCTGAGAAGGAATGGTTTCAAGTAAAGAGGGGAAAATAGTGCAGCCTTGTTCTCGAGGATGCCGTTCATCTTTTTGTGTTAAGCCTCAAAATTGTAGGGCACTGCATGCTTTCCCACATCAATAGACAAACCTAATACCAACAATAATAATGATATCTTGTACTAAAAATATAGGTTATTCGATACTTGCCAATGTAAAAGCTTTGTTTATAGATGATTTGTCAGTATTAGTTTTAAATCTTTTCGTCAAAATTTTTAGGAGAAAAAAAGAGAAAAAAAAAAAAAGAGAAGACTTTTGGCCGTTTGGGTGACTGTGTGAGCCTTAGAAAATGGGTGTAGCCCTGAGAAAAGGCATTATTGCTAAAGAGGAAGTGAAAGTTTTGTTCATTGGCATGGACCCTTAAATGAAATGTCAAAGGTCACGGCATCAAATCTAACACAAGGCCTGCCCCTAACAAATCTCCCAAAATCAGATGCCTAATCATTTGAGTTTTATTTAAATTTTCATAAAGTCTTCCAAGTTTATTAGTGTAAAAAAGTGCATCCCTTTTGTGAAAGTAGCCCCTGTTATAACAAATCTCTCAATTATTATAAAAAATATCACACCAGTTCTAACCCAAAATTTTAGGAATTAATCAAATTATTTTTTTTAAATTACTTATTAATTTACATCAAATAAAAATAAGGTCTATTTTTATCTAAAATTACTTATTAATCAAGTTGTTTCTTCTTCTTTTTATATGAAATTCTGTCTAATAAATATTTTACAGGAAAAAGAGCACAAACGTCTTATTTCTTATGGTGAATTATATATCAAAGTTCATAAAAAGAAAGATGGTGAATGGATCTAATAAAGCAAAAAAATTCTTTGTAAGAATGTATATTTTATAAATATTAAATTTTATTTATTTATAATAATATTGCTAAAATATTGATTTGATGCAGGAATCATATGAAAATGCTATGGTTGAAAAATATGGGGAATATACATCAAATCATCCTATAGTTGATTCTGATATTTGGATAAAGATTGTTGGTGAAAATAAAAAAGGTAAAATTTATAGTATATGTCAAAGTTTGAATCTTGGTATTTCACATGTTTCATCTTCATCAGTTGAAGATCCCTTTTCCCAAAATCTTACCACACCTCTCACTGAAGAAATAACTACCTTAGCTACACAGATATCTAATTTGAAAGAGTAGATAAAAACAAAGTTGCAGGCACAAACCGATATGCAAACATTGATCCAAGCACAAATGAAAACACAAACAAAAATGCAGACACTCATGTGACAACAAATACAAGAAGAAATGAAGTATTTTAAGAAAGATTTATTATCTGCGTTAAAGAAACAATGATGAAAATGTACTTTAAAGAATCAAAACTTTGTTTCTATTTTTAATTGTATTGATATAAAACTTTTTAGTTGAAATATTATTTTTGTTATATTTTAATTATTTGAAACATCATCTTGACTATGTTTAAACAATAATTTTATGTTGAAAATTGATAAGTTTGTCTTTTTATTTTAAGAATATGAGTAATAATTTAAATGTTAAACATTTGATATTATAATATTATGATGATATTTTAGCTGGAATACCTATTACACCAATAATAATAATTAGCAAATTACCTGCACATAAAATTGTAAGAGATTAACTACAGATTAATGAGAGACAAACTTGTGAGTGATTAACTATAAATTAGAGAGAGACAAATTTTGATACATATTAGAGACAGATAATTATGAAGGATTAACTACGAATTAACTAAAAAAATATTGCGAATGATTAACTACGAATTAACGAGGGAGCGAGAAATTAACTACATATCAGCTAGAAGAAATTATTGTGAGGAATTAACTACGAATCAATTAGAAATAAATTGTCGGAGATTATCTACATATTAACGATAGAAAAATTATGAGAGATTAATTATGAATTATCGAGAGATAAATTAGGAGAGATTAATTACATATTAGTGACAAAATAATTAAGAAGAATTAATTAAATTTATCAATTAATTAAAGAAAGGCAAAATTTCTTCACTTACACTAATAAAGGACTTACCGATAAATTGACAATAAATTTTATTATAAATTAAAAAAAATACATTTCTATCAAATTAACTCTTGAATTCAATGACGACATATTCTATAACTACTGTTAATCTAATATGTAGTAAAACATATGAGATTATTATTTATGTAAAATTCTAAGTTAGTCATGTGATGCACCATATATTGATCATACTAAACACTTATTTAGCGATTTCGAAGAAGTTTCAGAGAGAAAATTAACATCGAATGCATTCTCATGAAGACTTTGTGAAGTCTTCTGTTCTGTCACGTCAACTCGGTGTAAGAAGTCGTCACTTGTCACTACTATTTGGACAAATCATGACCCTTGTAATAAGAGAGGGTACTTGGCATTAATGACTATCAACTGTCCAACGTTTTTGTTATTTTTTTTTTTTTTTCACATATAAACAAATAGAAAAATCTCATGCATTATTATTTATAATAAAAGTAAATTTTATCTAAATCTTGTTCAGAGATTTTATTTACAATATATTGTTTACTAATTGAGATTTTATTTCAAATTACTATTTAAGTTTTAATAAAGGACATTTTAAGAAAAAGTGTATTTTTTTGGTGTAATCATTAAAAAGTTTATCTTTGTCACTTAGTACCTCATATATTTTAAAATATTCATTTTATATTTATAATTAATTAAAGTTTTTACATTTTAATGGAAGCAACAGTTAAATCAAAATCCTGAAGAAATGAAGTGTGAAAGGAAATGAAGATAACTTTAAACTTGAAAAGTAAATTCACATCTTGCAAACAGTAACAACTAGAATGAACTCACTTCAATTTATAACTTTCCATTTTGAAACATACTTTACTATTACAAACAGGTTATTGAATAACACAGATTTTAACAATTAGAATAAAGTTGTTTGAAAATTATAATTTTTTAATTGATAGTTTCCAGATCTCATTTAATGAATAGTTCTCAAAATTTTGCCGTTTGTATATATTTCAACCAATAACAAAGTATGTGATAGAAATAGTGTGTTACTAGCATCTCACTCAGTTACTTGTTGATATACAATAACTAGTTTTTTTATTCTAATTTCTTACATATATATGTTGCACAGGAGCTATGATGGCTATGGTGGTTGGTGATAGGTGCAACACAGATTTGGGGATTTGCCATGGCAAAGCAAATTGTAAGTCAAAATGCTCTGTAATTTATCAAGGTGGACAGGGACTTTGCGAGCAAAATGGTTGGGCCAAGAAGCATTGTTCATGACTGTGAACTATGTCAAGTAATTTTGGATGTTTTAGGAGATTGCCATGACATTCAATGCAATTCTGATTGTGCATTCCTGTTCCCTGGCAAAGGAACTACTGGATATTGTTTTAGCAAACCAGAGACCAACTATGCTAATTGTTAGTAAGTTTTTACCTCCAAAATGGTCATCATGTATTGAGTTGAAGATCATTGCAGATGAGATAATAAAATTGTATGTATAAAATATATATTTATCAGATAAAACTACATATAATACATCTTCTAAACATTAATTCCAGTTTGGAGGGTGTTAAAGATAAAATCAGGTAGGAATTAGCTACTTGTAAATTTCTTCTAACATTGTATCTAAGCCAAGTAGATATGACTTGATGTAATCATGCTTCTCATTTCAGTCAAAATGAATTGGAGGCAAGTCATCTTAAAACTGAAGACAAGCAAATTTTCAGTGACTTATTTGAAATTGTTAGAATATTTCATGTGAAGGAGGATATTAGACTTGGCTGAAATATAAAATCAAACTGAGCCAAAAAGATATATTACACAACAAATAGACAGTGAAAAACAGATCTGACTTTAAATATTTCATTAATTCAACATTTACAAAGCCAAAACTTGATCATCAACACCAAGTTTTTCTCTGTGACCTCATGGATTCTCTCCTCTTATGAATTCATCTTCTCTCTTGGGCTCAATATATATTAATACTAATCCCAAAACTAAAACAAATATTCAGTTACTTATTTGAAATGTAAGCAATTCACTTGGTAGATACATCATTGATGAACTCATAAGAAATCAAATGTAAAATGAAAAGTAAAGTTGTCACATATTCAACGTAGAGATGGATTTTTAAACAAAGAAAAAATCTTAGACAGAAGCTAATTCAATCTCGCACTTGGTCACAACAGGTGTGGCAAGTACAGGGACAGATTTGGCTAACAATGCTGACGAGTCAGAACAGATAGTTGTGTCAGTATCAGCCTGCGATGCATGTACCGGTTGAGTGGGTGGAACCCAACCAATCAGGTGTTGAAATGGGTTCGGAGGTTTAGGAACTTCAACTGAACCTTCCAACATTTTCACCACAGCACTCATTACAGGTCTCGCTCCTGGCCTATACTGAACACAAGAAAATGCTACCTTAACAATTCTTTCTGCAATCTCCCTATCTTTGTCCTCTATCCCACAGGCAGTTATCACCTCCCCCACTTGTTCAGAATCAAATTTTTCCCAAGCCCACTTTGGAAACCAAGCCTGACTTTCTGGAAGGTTATCGTTATGGTTTCTTCTCCTGCCAATGATTTCAAATAACAGAATGCCAAAGCTGTAAACATCACACTTGTGAGTTACAGGAAATGGCATCCAAAGTTCAGGGGCCGCATAACCAGGAGTCCCTCTACCCCCAGTCATGCTTATATGAGTATGGTCTCTGTTGCAAAGCTTGGCCAAACCAAAGTCTGCAACTTTAGGACAAAAATTCCTATCCAAGAGAATATTTCCTGGTTTAATATCATAGTGGATTATTCTCTGTTGACACTCTTCATGCAAGTAAGCAATGCCTCTTGCTGTACCAATTGAGATCTCATGGAGTTTTTCAAATGATAAGATCGTGCTTTCATGAAACAGGTACTTCTCAAGCGCACCATTCACCATGTACTCATAAACCAGTGCTCTCAAGTGTCTTTCAAAGCAAAACCCATATAGACGAACTAGATTGAGATGATGGACTTTACCAATGGTACCCACTTCTGCCATAAACTGTTCATCAATTCTTTTGTCAGAACTCCCACGTAGAACTTTCACAGCTATGATGGTTCCATCGCTAAAACTTCCTTTGTAAACAGCACCAAAACCTCCTGACCCCAAGAGATAAGTGTAATTATCAGTCGCAATCCTTAGCTGCTGATCAGTGAACCTGATTGGCTTCTCCCTTTCCATGTCATTCAGAAATTTATCCATAGTGAGTGTCATAAATTTTTTGACAGGCGTTCCTGTTTGATTATATGATCTAAAACCACCATTAGCCTTAAATTTGTTAATGCACCAACAGAAAAGACTAATCTTCACAATCAGAACAACTGCATCAAGATCATTAGATCATTCAGTCATAACAAAAGTCCTGCAAATAAACCAATATAAAACAGAAAATGAAAACAAATAAGTGGGACAGTTTAAATCCTACCTATGGCAATAGCAATCACAACTCCCGAATAGTCAGAATGGTTGGTGCTATCTGTCATGGTAGAGGTGGTGTCGGACATTGAACAAAATATGATAAGAATTCAAAACCACTGCAGTTGATAGTAAGCAGCAATGCAAGGTTGTAGTTTATTTATTATGTTATCACTTCAAGTTCCTCAAACGCGTTTTTTGTTCGAGTTTCATGGTTATTTCACTGTAAATTTCCCATATAAAAGGTTTGAAAAATAAGGAAAAGAGTGGGGACTATATTGATTAATTATGAGATGATAATGTAGTTGAAGAGTTTGAAGTTGTGGTTGTGGTGAATTCAAAGTCTTTCTTTTTGTCGTTTCATAGCATGAGTAACTCGCCGTTTGTGGTTTCCTAGTGTGGGAACTACATTAAGCAAAAACCAGCTTTTGTGAATCTACTTATATATATATAACTTTGGCTCAAACTAGTTTGACTTTTCTAATATACGATCAATTTTTTATTTTAAGTATTTAATAATATTTTTCTTTCAATGGGCAATAAATTAAAATTTTAGTTTAAGTATTTGACACTATCTTTGTTAATTTATATTACTTACCTCTCAGCTAAATTGAAATATGTTCACATCATTTTGACTGTTTTTATATTCAATATAAAAATAAGTCATATACAACTATAATTTATTTAAATCTGTAAATTTTGAAATAAAATCTTTGACTTATAAGCAACAATATTTATATATTTTTTCTCTCTTATTGTATATGTAGCTGTGCATAGACATAAAGTATACATTTATCATGTCTTTTTTATTTGAATTAATCAATAACTACAACGTCTTTTTATCACTCCCCAGCGAAGAAACTAGAATCACTCTATAATAATTTCTGGCTGGCTAAGGCTAAGGCTATTCATATTGTTAAAATCATTACAGCATGTGTTATTGCAGCACTTTGGAATCCCTTTTGTCCCTGACGACTCTGAAATATCCACAGACTTGTCCTTAAGGCCATCAGACTCCAATGAAGCAATGCTGGAATCTTCTATGGCAATAGAGTGAGTGCCACATTTTTCAGTCTTAGATTGCTCTTGGCAACAATCAGAACTATTGTTTGTTCTGCATGTGGAGTCCTCACACATTTTGACTTCACTTAGACAACAACCATTGCAGGGTTTCACTATATGCACTTCAATAGAGACCAAGTTTCCGCTTTGGTTTCCCTTGAGTGAGCTCATCTTCAAACGTCCAGAAGATTCATTCTTGCTTGTAGTTTCTACACGATAAGTATCGTCTTTACAGCAATCTTTACCACACTCTTCAGATGTAAGAAGCCCTTGGTTCTTAGTGCTGTTACTTTCATTGTCAAGTAAAGTCGTGGTCACATCTTCCAAGAAAGTGCCATATTTAGAACTTGTAGATTTTCTTTCATATTTTGGTTTCTCTTGTAAAATTAACATGCTATTGAGAATCACAAGTAAACAGGTCCCAACATCAGTCAACACAGCAAGCCAAACAATAGGGTATCCTGAAATTGCCAATGCAAGTACAGCACTCTTGAAGCCAATTGAAATAATGACATTCTCAATGAGCTTTCTAGTTGTTTTCCTTGCTAGCCGAATGGCTTCCGGTATTTTTTGGATGTCATTCGACATGAGAATTGCATTGCCTGTCTCATTTGCAAGAGCAGAACCAGATATTCCCATTGAGATACCAATGTCAGCAGTGGCTAATGCAGGAGCATCATTTATGCCATCTCCAATCATGGCTGTTAGCCCATCTTTCTTCCAATTCTCAATGATCACAGCCTTTTCCACAGGTAGAAGCTCTGCGTGTACAATGTCTAGTAGATGGTTCAACTGCAGAGAATAAGCTAATTTGCTAAGTTTTGATATGGATCATAAAGCGTCATTAATGATCAAAACTGAAGCCTCTTCAGTCAGGAAAGAAAGACATTGTTGAGAACAAACTCTGTCATATTAACATATTTGTCATTTTGTCATAACATTGTTGGTTAAATAGAGTATAGATTACTATGAGCATACCTGACTGTGAACATACATAGCAGCTTGAGTGCTATCTCCTGTTAGCAAGACAGATCTCACGCCTAACAACTTCAGCTGTTCTATTGCCTCCAAAGCACCTGATCTGCAAGTATCAACTAAGCTGAATACTCCAACCAGAGTTGGTCCACAGTATTGTTTCGGGCTAGAAATTTCATGGCTTTGAAATTGCAGATGACAATCAACTAAAAAGATGATGAAATAGTGAAATGATAGTATAAGAAAAAGACGATGGAATAGTGAATCAACTATCACAAGTGAAATGATAATATAAATATTGTTGAACATTCAAGGACTTGATGTTGCAAATAATGATCATGAAGAATGTTGATTTTGATGATGATCCAAGAGCTTAAAGACTTAGAGTATTGAAGATTGAAGATTGATGATTTCTGTATTGTAATAACTCTGTTTTAGTTTGATTGAGTCTGTAATTATAGAGTCTAAGATAGCCGGTACATAGTCTGTAACTTAGAAGCTTCAAAATGCTCAAATTTATCATGCAGGCTCGGCTTTAATCGATTATATAGGGAAATAATCGATTAAAACAGTGAGAAAACCATTTTCAGCATATACTCACTGTTTTAATCGATTAAAACATCAAAATAATCGATTAAAAGGTCAAATAATCGATTATTTCACCAAATAATCGATTAAACCAGAGAGGATTGGGTTCTGCGTATTTGGCTCTGTTTTAATCGATTAAAACTCCATTTAATCGATTATTTCAGTCTGTTTTTGTTTTTAAATTTCAAATTAACCCTATTTTCGAAAACCCAATTACCAAGAACCCTAGTTTCGAAATCCCCAATTCCTTAACCCTAATTTCCCTACTTAAACTCTGCTTTGGCACTCGTAAAAAAGAACAACTCTTTCCATACAAAAGTTAAGTGCTCGTGAGTGCCGTAGAACTGTTTGTTGCAAGGAAAGGGGCTTTTGGAAACCTGGTGTGAGGCTAGAAGCGATAAGAATCACTAAGTGGAGTTCTTAGTGGATTGTGTGCTGTGCCGTCTCTAGGGAAAGCTGTTCTTCATCTCTTGTGGATTTCAAGAGAGGTGTTGTCTTTACTTTATCTCTTTGATTTGTAATCTGTTTATAACAATTTGTTCTTAGTGACAGCGTTAATCCTCTTTTGAGTGATTAGCAACTGGACGTAGGGTCTTTTGATCCGAACCAGTATAAACCTACTCGTGTAATCTTCTCTACTCTTCTCTATTTACATTTACGCAGTTTTTAATCGGTAAAATTTGGGGAAAATTTTGAAAACCTAATTTTTATTAAGAAACCAATTCACCCCCTCTTGGTTTTTGTCCGACCACGCGAACATTCCGCTGCGCGATTCTAACAAGTGGTATCGAGCTTGCTTTGATAGTCATTCAAACTTTTCGAAAATGGCCGGACAAAATCAAACTTTTGCCGAAGGTGCGTCTATCAACAGACCCCCACTTTTGCGGGTCAAAATTATCCTTTTTGGAAAGTACGTATGCAAATATTTTTAGAGTCTCGTTGATAGAGGTGTTTGGGACGCAATTTTAAACGGTCCATTTGTTCCTAAAATTACGAGAACGGTGTTGACGTTCTTAAACCTTTTGATAGATGGACTGCCGACGAAAGTCGAAAAGTACAATTTGATGTTAGGGCTAGAAACATTATTTCATCTCGCTTCTAACCCTTGATGAGTTCTACAGAATTTCTATTTGTAAAAGTGCACAGGAAATGTGGGAAATGCTTAGAGTAACCCACGAAGGAACCGATGACGTCAAAAGAGCACGTAAAAATTCTCTAATTCAAGAGTACGAAATGTTCCGGATGCAACCAGGCGAAACGATATTTGACGTACAAAAACGTTTCACTCATATCGTGAACCATCTCACCGGACTAGGTAAAATTTTTGACGTTGATGAATTAAATGTTAAAATTTTGAAATCTCTCGGATAGGAAATGGCAACCAAAGGTGACGGCCATCTCGGAGTCACAAAATCTTGCCACTATGTCTATGGCGGCGTTGTTTGGAAAGCTTAGGGAGCATGAACTTGACCTTGGAAGACTAAATGAGGAAGAGGGTCAATATCAAAAGAAGAACCTTGCTTTCAAAACCGAGATTTCAAAAAGCAAAAATAAGAAAGAAGAAGAAGAAGACTCCGAAAATGATGAAGAAGAGATGAGTCTTTTTATAAAGAAGTTCACCAAGATGATGAAAGCAAAAGGAAGACATCCTTTCAAAGGTAAGGAAAAGGTAAAAGAAAATTCTTCCGTTAATATAAAATGCTTTGGTTGTGGTGAAGCGGGGCATATAAAGATCGAATGCCCAAACAAGAAAAATGATGAACACAAGGGCAAAAAGCAATTCAAGAAGAAAGCATATATTGCTTGGGATGACAGTGATTCAAATTCAGAATCAAGCGACTCGTAAATTGAAGCAAACATTTGCTTGATGGCAAATAACAACAATTCTTCGGATTTTGAGGTTAGTGATTTCGATTCATCCTCTAGTGAAGAAAATGACCATGATGAATTGCAAAATGCTTATAATGAGTTATTTACTGCATTTATGGATATGAAAAAGGAATATAAAGTTGTAAAGAAGAATCTAAGAAAATCGGAAAAGGAAAATGAGTCCTTAAAATTGAAAATTGCATGTTTAGAAGAAAAGGAGGTAGCCAATACGAAAATAGTATGCTTAGATGAAGATAAGGACTTAGCATGTGCAAAATGTAAAGAGCATGAATATGATATAGATATTCTTAATCATTTGCTTGACAAAGCCGAAAAAGAAATTGATGATCTTAAGAAGAATGAAATGGTTTTTGCTCAAAATAATGTAAATCATAGAGTTCCTTTGAAAAAGAGTAAATCTAAAAAGAAAAGAATATGGGTAGAAAAAGGAACTAGAGCATGTCATGTTAATAATGTATCTTATTCTAAAGCTACTCCAAATGCATGCTTCTATTGTATGAAACAAGGTCACACTTCAAATAAGTGTAAAATTAAACATTTTGGTATTCCAAAAGGTAAATATATTTGGGTTCCAATAGTTAAATAAATCTGTTTGTCTCTTTTATTTATTCAAAGAAAATGGATCATTTTGTATGTTTTAAACAAAATGCTTAGGTAAAATCATTTTATCTTTTCTATCGCATAAAGATTCTTCTCTTAAAGATTTTTGCGAGAAGCCTCTAAAATTGTTTTAAACGATTTCAAAATAAAGTATTTTTACAAAATCTTTCTTAAAACATGTTTTTAAGCGATGCGGTTTTGAAAGAACCAAATAAAATCACTTAGAGTGGTCAAAGAAGTGTTTTTACAAGCATTTTAATCGATACAACTGGTTTTTAATCGATTAAAACCATTTAGAACTCATTTTGACCGATCAGATTGTTATTATGAGCTGATCGAAACGCTTAAATCGATTAAAAACACGTTTCAATCGATTAAAATTACTTAAAGGGTCAGGATGATCGATCAGAATCAAATTATGACCGATCGAAGCAAATGTAATCGATCAGATTTTAATTATGAGCTGGTCGAAATCTTTCAATCGATTAAAAACACGTTTCAATCGATTAAAATCACTTAAAGGTTCAGGATGATCGATCAGATTTTTATTATGACCGGTCAGAATCAGCTTATGATCGATCAGATTTTTATTATGACCGATCGAACTCTTTTAATCGATTAAAAACTCGTTTCAATCGATTAAAACAACTTAAAAACTTTTTCTACACTGCGTTTTAATCGATTAAAAGATGTTTTAACAGATTAAAACTGCACTTTTAACAGATTAAAAGAATCTTTTAACAGATTAATTAAACCAGCTAGCTTTGAAAATAGTCTATAAAAACAGCTTTTGCTTGAACTTCTTAAAACACCCAAAGAATATATTGTTTTGCAAGTATTTTAAATAGATTATTATGTCTCTAACCTCAAGGACCCAAAAGTTGTGGGGACCTAAGTTTACTATGTTCTTGTTTTGTAGGAAACTTCCAAATCAAAGAAGTCTATGTGGTATCTTGATAGTGGATGCTCAAAACATATGACTCGGGAATAAAACGAAATTTGTAAGTTTCAAAGCCAAAGAACAAGGATATGTGACTTATGGGGATAACAACAAAGGGAAGATTCTCGAATTGGAAATATAGGTGGTGCAAATACATTGGAGATTAAGGATGTGCTTCTTGTTGATGGATTAAAACATAACCTTCTTAGCATAAGCCAATTGTGTGACAAAGGATTCAAGGTAACTTTTGAAAGCAAATTTTGCACCATACATTTAGTAGATTCCGAAATAGTAGAATTAAAAGGCATTAGGCATAACAACATATATTTGATTGATTTGGATTGTTTATATGAGTCTAGTATAACATGTTTAGTTGCTAAGGAAGAGAATCCTTGGTTATGGCATAAAAGAGCGGCTCATATAAACATGCATCATTTGAATAAATTGATATCAAAAGACTTAGTTATTGGATTGCCTAAATTGAAATTTGAAAAAGATAGATTGTGTGATGCATGCCAAAAAGGTAAACAAGTTAAATCATCATTTAAATCAAAAAATGTGATTTCCACTTCAAAACCCCTAGAATTATTACATTTAGATTTATTTGGACCTTCTAGGATAAAAAGCTTTGGTGGAAATTATTATGGTCTTGTAATTGTTGATGATTTCTCTAGGTACACTTGGACATTTTTCCTAACTATGAAAAGTGAAGCTTTTAAGGTCTTTAGAAAGTTTGCTAAACAAATACAAAATGAGAAAGACCTAAGGATTAAAGTTTTGAGAAGTGACCATGGTGGTGAGTTTCAAAATGAAAAGTTTGAGAATTATTGTGAGGAAAATGGTATATTACATAACTTTTCTCGCTCCTAGGACTCCCCAACAAAATGGTGTAGTTGAAAGGAAAAATAGGTCATTAGAGGAACTTGCAAGAACTATGTTAAATGAATCTAATGTTCCTAAATATTTTTGGGCTGATGCGGTTAGTACTGCATGTTATGTTTTAAATAGAATGCTCATTAGGTCAATTATGAAATCTACTCCATATGAATTGTTTAATGGTAGAAAACCTAATGTTGCACATTTGAAAATTTTTGGTTGTAAATGTTTTGTACTAAATAATGGAAAGGACAATCTAGGAAAATTTGATTCAAAAGCCGATGAGGGTATTTTTCTAGGTTATTCTTTAACTAGCAAGGCGTATAGAGTATTTAATAGAAGAACTTTGAATATAGAAGAATCTATACATGTTGCCTTTGATGAGATTGTAGACCTTGGGGAAATCCTCTTGAGTCAAATAAAAGACTTGCAGGTGATGATGAATATATAAGAGAGGCCCTTGATGAATTATACTTGGAAGATAATGTGCCTTCTCAAACTCCTCAATTAGCAAAAGAATGGCAATCACCTAGAGGACTCTCAATGGACAATATCATAGGTGATATCTCAAAAGGGGTAAGAACTAGAAATATGAATAATTTCTGTATGTCTCGTTGCTTTTGTGTCACAGATTGAACCTAAAAACATTGAGGAAGCACTTAAAGATGATCAGTGGTGCATAGCCATGCAAGAAGAACTTAACCAATTTGAAAGGAATCAAGTCTCGGGAACTAATCCCAAGAGAAGAGTCACATCAAGTTATTGGAACTAAATGGGTATTCAGAAATAAGCTTGATGAAGATGGTAATATAACAAAGAATAAAGCCGGACTTGTTGCAAAAGGCTATTGTCGGGAGGAAGGTATAGATTATGATGAAACTTATGCTCCTGTGGCCAGGTTAGAGGCTATACGCCTACTTCTTGCTTACGCATCTATGATGAAATTTAAACTATATCAAATGGATGTAAAGAGTGCATTTTTAAATGGTTTTATTAAAGAAGAAGTGTATGTAGAGCAACCCCTGGATTTGAAGATTTTAATAATCCTAATCATATTTACAAATTAAAGAAAGCATTATATGGGTTAAAACAAGCTCCTAGATCTTGGTATGAAAGATTAAGTAGTTTCCTAACTGCAAATGATTTTTCAAGAGGAAAAATTGATTCTACACTCGTTTATTAAGAAAGTTAAAGAACATATCTTATTGGTCCAGGTATATGTTGATGATATTATTTTTGGATCAACTGATAATTCTTTGTGTGTAGAATTTGCTAAGATTATGCGAGGAGAGTTTGAAATGTCTATGATGGGAGAATTAACATTCTTCCTTGGACTTCAAATCAAGCAACTTAAAGATGGAACTTTTATCTCTCAAACTAAATACTGCAAAGAGATCCTCAAAAAGTTTGGTATGGACACCTCAAAGGAAGCTAACACACCCATGGGAACTTCATGCTATTTAGACAAGGATGAATCAGGTTTGGAAGTAAATCAAACTATGTATAGAGGTATGATAGGATCACTATTATACTTAACTGCTAGTAGACTCGATATTATGCATTCCGTCCGTGTGTGTGCTAGATTTCAAGCTTGTCCTAAAGAATCTCATTTAATTGCAGTAAAACATATTTTAAAATACTTAAAAGGAACTACTCGGATTTGGCTTGTGGTATCCGTCTCGATGCTTGTATTAGTTTATTAGGATATTCTGATGCTGATTATGGTGGATGTAAAATTGATAGGAAAAGCACTAGTGGGACATGTCATTTGTTAGGTTCATCCTTAATATCATGGCACTCTAAGAAACAAGCATGTGTAGCTTTATCTACCACTCGAAGCTGAATATATTGCGACTGGTAGTTGTTGTGCTCAAATTCCGTGGATGAAACAACAATTAGAGGATTATAGCATATATTTAAATGACATTCCATTAATGTGTGATAATACGAGTGCAATCAACTTAACTAGAAATCCAAGAATGCACTCTAGGACTAAACATATTGAGATTAGACATCACTTTTTAAGAGATAATATCAAGCAAAGGAAACTGTAAGATAGAGTATGTAGACACTAAACGTCAATTAGCAGATATATTTACTAAGCCTCTACCCAAGGATAGATTCTATGATCTTAGAAGAGACTTAGGGATACTAGAAATAGCTTAAATTCTGCTTAATTTGAATGATTTTGGATGATTGTTATGATTAAATTCGTGATGCAGGATATTCATAGGTTATAATGTGTAAAAACCTTAAAAAACTTAATATAGCCTCCGGAATAATCGACATCGGAAGTGATAATCGATTATTTTTCCTCAAAACGTCCAAAACAGGGTATTCTCCTTCGGAATAATCGATTATCTCGTGAAATAATCGATTAAATGCCTCTAAAAATCGATTATTTACTGGAAATAATCGATTAAAGTTGTCTAATGTAGAGATAATTGATGAATTTTCTTTTGTTATTGTCTTGATGTTGTAAAATATGATGTTTCTTTCATGCTATGATTGAGGGGGAGCTTTCTCTAACTTATGCATATTTTGAGGGGAGCTCTTATGATTGATGTTGCAGAGTTCTTTTTGATTATAATCAAAATAGGGGAGAAAAATTTAAAGCCTATGATTCAATATTAAATGTTATCTGGTATGTTTAATGTGTTTGTTAGTATGACGGATGAAACAGGTTATTACAAGGGCTTTAAAAAGATAATTTTGATCATCATCAAAAAGGGAGATTGTTGAACATTCAAGGACTTGATGTTGCAAATAATGATCATGAAGAATGTTGATTTTGATGATGATCCAAGAGCTTAAAGACTTAGAGTATTGAAGATTGAAGATTGATGATTTCGTATTGTAATAACTCTGTTTTAGTTTGATTGAGTCCGTAATTATAGAGTCTAAGATAGCCGGTACATAGTCCGTAACTTAGAAGCTTCAAAATGCTCAAATTTATCATGCAGGCTCGGCTTTAATCGATTATATAGGAAAATAATCGATTAAAACAAGTGAGAAAACCATTTTCAAGATATACTCACCTGTTTTAATCGATTAAAACATCAAAATAATCGATTAAAAGGTCAAATAATCGATTATTTCACCAAATAATCGATTAAACCGAGAGGATTGGGTTCTGCGTATTTGGCTTCGTTTTAATCGATTAAAACTCCATTTAATCGATTATTTCGACTGCTTTTTGTTTTTAAATTTCAAATTAACCCTATTTTCGAAAACCCAATTACCAAGAACCCTAGTTTCGAAATCCCCAATTCCTTAACCCTAATTTCCCTACTTAAACTCGCTTTGGCACTCGTAAAAAAGAACAACTCTTTCCATACAAAAGTTAAGTGCTCGTGAGTGCCGGAGAACTGTTTGTTGCAAGGAAAGGGGCTTTTGGAAACCTGGTGTGAGGCTAGAAGCGATAAGAATCACTAAGTGGAGTTCTTAGTGGATTGTGTGTCTGTGCCGTCTCTAGGGAAAGCTGTTCTTCATCTCTTGTGGATTTCAAGAGAGGTGTTGTCTTTACTTTATCTCTTTGATTTGTAATCTGTTTATAACAATTTGTTCTTAGTGACAGCGTTAATCCTCTTTTGAGTGATTAGCAACTCGGACGTAGGGTCTTTTGATCCGAACCAGTATAAACCTACTGTGTAATCTTCTCTACTCTTCTCTATTTACATTTACGCAGTTTTTAATCGGTAAAATTTGGGGAAAATTTTGAAAACCTAATTTTTATTAAGAAACCAATTCACCCCCCCTCTTGGTTTTTGTCCGACCACGCGAACATTCCGCTGCGCGATTCTAACAAATATGAACAAAGAAGGACAAATAGTATTGAAATATGCTTCTGAGTTTCTATTGAAGTGATAAACTAATGAATAAAAGCTAAGAATTAAAGGCTAATGGCTATAAGAAAATCTTGTGAAACATACTCAAGTGCTTGTATCTGATAAAGGATGACCAAATAACAAAGATATTCAAGATTAAAATACGAAAAGAACTAATTTTGAAACGAAGTACACGGTTTTACAATCACCTCTTTTGGAATCAGCTCTAGCACCAATTCTCCTATTGCCAATATAGATATCCTTCCCATCAATTCTACCGAAAACTCCTTCCCCTGCAAAATTATCGAAATTCTCCACATTTTCAGGGATTGGCCTGACAGAACGCGACATTCCATATTCCACCAGAGCAGCTGCCATAGGATGACTTGATTTGCTCTCAATACTTGAAACCCTGCAAAGTTTTCATAAAAAAAAAATCAAATTAGTCGTAAAACAGTTATAAACTCTTCAACCAGAGTGTATTGACATTCTTTTGTTTAATTAATAGAAGTTACCAGTACAGTAAAGTTTCAATGCTAATGTCATCTACAACAGAAAAATCTGTCACGGTGAACTCTCCTCTCGTTATTGTGCCTGTTTTATCAAAAGCGACTGTCTTAATTCCAGAAAGTGTTTCAATATAATCTCCACCTTTCAGTAATAACCCACTTATTGCAGCTTTTGTGAGTGCACAAAAGATTGCAACCGGAGTGGATAGGATGAGAGCACAAGGGCATGCACTTAACAAAACCACAATTGCAAGATGAAACCAAGGCTTAATATCAGGCACTTCTAATGCAGCTGGAACCACAGCAATGCTTGCTGAAATCAAAACAACAGCTGCAAGATAATATAAATATATACAAATATCAGTAGTTACTCTGATGATCTAGATCTCCAGCATATTTATCTATAAAAAAATCTTAAAACATTGAAAGTAAAAATAAAGCTAGTGCAGAATTTTTTTTTTCCCTTCCAAAAGAGAAAAAAAGTTGGTGAAGCATGTACTTAGTACTTACAAGGAATATAGTACTTCGCAAAATTATCTATGAATCTTTGTGTTCGAGATTTTCTGCTAGAGGCCTCTTCAACAAGTTTTGACATTCTAGCCACCACTGTGTCTTTTGCCAGCACCGTAGTTTTTATACTTATATATCCTGGGATTATACACAACCAGAATTGTTTTAGAAGAATTGTATTGGTAAAAAATGTTGGGAGGTAAAGAATAGCAAGATACTTAACCATTGACATTAATAGTTCCAGCCCACACTATTGAATCCAACTCTTTGATCACAGGTAATGATTCTCCTGTTAACATCTTTTCATCAACTTCACACTTTCCTTCCACCACGATTCCATCAAGAGGAATAGCGTCACCCGCCTTGACTGCAAGTATGGTGTTAATCTTAACATCATTGACGTCAACACGTTCCCCAGATTCAGCAATAACAGCTTTTTGAGGAGCCATGCTTGTCAAAGAGGACATTGCCACCTTTGCCTAAAGTACAGACTTAAAATGTCAAAAGTTATCTTAAAATAGGTCTTATGTAGTGTCTGTTCTTCAATTAATACTTGCATTGTGCAAGCAATAAGCACTAATCTGTGTTTATGAGTGTGAAGAAATAATAATTACTTCTATATATAATAACATAATCTCCTTAACTTAGTTCAAACTTTATTTTTCATCTCTCCTAATTCACACACACACAATGTGCCCTATACTACGCAATTATTCTCTTTTTTTTTTTCTTTCTCAAACACCTGTATTGTATGATTTATGAGGAGAATTTTGAATTAATCTTGTTTTCAATTGCGCAAGTTTTCATTTATGAGGAAAATTTGCAATTTAGAAATATTTCTAAAAACTTCTAATATTAATCAGGTACTAGAGATATCAGCAGTACAGCTGAAAACAACTGTAACAAGGAAAAACCATAATGATTTTGCGATGAACAACACAGAAGAACATTTCAGAAGCAAATGTAATTGGAGTTTTAGAAATGATACTGAAGACAATAGTGAAGTTCATGTACCTTGTTTCTCCACCGCTTTGTAGATACAAGCTTAAACTTATCAAACTCACCATAACATATTCAAAAGAAATGTTTTCTTGAAGTATTAGGTGTGTATTGAACAACTTAACAGTGATTAATGTGTCCCAGAGAGAAGAAAACACAAATTCTTCACTATCACATGATAAGAGTGGAGTATAGACAAACAATAATCCAGCTGTAGTCACCTTCAGTTAAGAGCAAAGCAAGAAGATAAACTTGGAAAATACTTATGCCTCTAACAAATCCTTATAATCTGTTAAAAAATCACTCCTAGTTTGCAAGCTGGTACTGCACATTTCTTGGGGAATACTCAACCATGACTAGTCATTGACAAAATTGTAAAAACATTAAAAGATCAAATCTACATTAATGCCTTACAGAAGGAAGCTAGAGTACACAGATAAGTACATTAAATGCAAACAAGCTAGCATTAATCAAGTAGGAAGAGTGACTTAGTTAAGAAAATGCAGCAAACATTTAAGAAGAAAGGGGGAAATGATGTCCAATACCTTGTGAGTTGCTCGTGTCTCAAGCCATTGAGCAATGGAGAACAGGAAGATGATGACACCAGCCTCCCAGAAATCTTGTAAAGCAGCAGTACTACACACTGCAAGATATAACAATGAAACATAACAAACAGCACATTCTCTTATGTCACACGTATACATGTTTTCCATATAAACTAACAAGTGTTGTTATTTTCTTTGGAAAGTAAACTAAAGTAGTACAGCCTACCATTTTTGACTGAGGAATCCATAAATTACAATTCAAACCAAAGTACCTGCCAATAGAACCAGAATGTTGATATTAAGAGTCAGAGCCCTAATGGATGCAATGGCCCTGAGGAGAACCTTAGGGAAGCCAATGAAAACAGAACCAAGTGCCAACCATTCCAAAGGGTGATATACATATTTCAAGAAAGAAAGTGCCAGAAACAAGCCACACACCATTGTAGGTAAATCTGGCCATTTCTTTTCATTATCAGTCTCTCCCTGTACTTTCAAACTAGCTTCAAGCCTTGCAGCATTCAGTGCATCAGCTGACGCAATCAAACAACAAAGATCAATAAATTCTTGTTGTGTCTATTTGAAGAAAAGAAAGTAACGACTTGCAATAAGATTTTTTACCTCATTCGGATATTTGGAACAGAAAATAGACTAAAGCAAAACGTATTTCAGTGAATGACAATGCAAGTGATACATGACCTCAGCTAAAATGTAATTAAAGTTACAAGTAACTCTGTGAATGTAAATATTAAACTAAAAACGCCATGCATTTGAATAATAATCAATGAAAGTTTTATTTGATAAGTTGGATTACAAGTATTTTCAATCATTTTAAATCCTAGGAAGATTGATAGCTTATACAATTAAAATGGTTCAATTCATGTGCATATGGCCCCCACCAAAACAAGGTCTGATTGTCCTGGGAGGTTCTGACCTTAGCTAGCAGGACTCGTTAAATTGCAAATCCATCACCATACCACATGTGTATCAAATTCACCATAAAGAAAGATTTGCAATATAATTGCAAACAATAGCAAATTACAACCCCCCATATCACGTGTTCCTGTGTACTGAATTTCTGGTAACTATGATCAAGTTCGCACAAAGTAATAAAGCCTTGTCCATATATGATAGATCATGTAGTAATTCCCTTTTGTCAGATGATAGCATCATTAGCCTGAATCAATTACTGTCTTAGAACTGAAGAATGTGGTTTCCATAAGGAATGTAAAGTTATAATTTTTCATTGACATACTATTAATTAAACAAAAACATAACTATGCATAACAAGATTAATTACTCTCAAAGCTCACACTAACATGCTAGAACCTCAACAAGGGTTTGACATGATGAGTTCTGCATGACAGTAAAACAATCAGTCAACTCATTTCAGAACCCCAGAAATGCTAGCAGGTAATCCGAAAGCAAAAACATTACCACGAAGTAACAATTTTAAAAGGTAAAATTACATCACGAACTCTGAAATTCATATAGTAACACACCTCATAAATCGAAGCAATAAAGGAAGCTATGAGCTATCGCATAAAGATTACAGAACCAGTCAACCTCCCTCATGATCATCATAGATATTTAAATCGATGATCGAACCCTGACACACAACTTTTGTTAAGACCAAAGGAAAGTGAAGAGAAAAGGGTAATACAAATCACCTATTTGTAACACAGAAATGAAGAGAACATCATGGACCACAGTGACTGTTCGTGTAGGGACTATCACTGAGACATGTTTGACTCCATGAAGAGGCTTCAGAATTCTTTCAACCAGTGCTGCTTCTGTAGCACAGCACATTCCCAACACTTCGAAGCTGCTTCTCTTCATATTGTCAACCATATTCTTCTTCTTCACTATGCGTTTCACAATGAAGAACAAAGAACAAACAGGGCATAAAACTTTGAAAACTGAAGTAAAACACAATAGTTGAAACACAAGTTATATACAAATTATCAATCATATGGGGCAACAGATATCACTTACACACAAAGTCTTCCTTTGAGTTTACAATCTTTGAGGTGAACAAACAAATTATGACGTAATTTATCTTCTGCTTACATTTAGATTATATTAAAGCCAATACTGTCATGTATACTATTTTTGAATTACATATGTGACTTTCAATGACGTACAGAATTAAGTCTATATCAATATATATTAACCACTTGAAATTCCAACCTGATTATTTTTTCCTTCATTTTGAATGTGATCTATTTTTATGAAACAATGTACCATTGGATCTTTTGGCATTCATTGCTATTATATAATTTATTATGCAAATTTTTACCTTAGTGATGTGTCTAATAAAATACATGTTGATGGTACTGTTGTAATAGAAAGTAATTCATAAAGAATGCTAACAGAAACTTTTTTATTATTGATTGAAATTCTTTAGAAATGACTAATTTTGATAGGTTTTATTTTTTATTTATAAATAAAACTCTGCTAATTACAGTGGGATGTTAGAATATATATATATATATATATATATATATATATATATATATATATATATTATTTGAAATAAGTATGCACTGTGGTTGCGGTTTAGGCCGATCCTACACATCAAAAAAATTGCTTGCTTAAAAGTATATTGGCTGGAAAACCGGGTGTTTTAGTCTTCCCGATTAGGTTGCTTGATGCGTAATAGGCCAATCCAGATCACATATGTCAGGTTCAAATCCTGATAATTTAGTGTGAATTAACAAAGCCACGTACTTTGTTCATAAAACTGATTATTTTATCTGAATTTTTATTTTCTGAAAACTTAACCTTTTCATTAGAAATTTTTTTATTAATCGAACCTTGCCTAATAGTCTTTGAGGGTAGATGAGCATTGGTAAGCCGGTTTAGGTTATAAGTCCAGTGATTGGCAGTAACCCTGTGGTGTTCCCGTACATCTTAGACCTTGGCCTTAGGATGACAAAATTAATAAAACTTTTATCTAAGGGAAAAGAAAAGTTAGAAGAAAATAGGAATACAGAAGAAGAAACCAGTAATATGAATCTAGTACACCATGAATTAATAATCCCAGAAATAGAAAATCAGTTAAATAAATGGACCCTTCCCAAATTAGAAATATCTAATATCTATAAAACTAATTGGAAAGACATGTTTAAATCAGAATACATAATAAAAACCATAGATAAAGAAATAGAACTCTTATCAAATCATGAAAAAATACCATTAATAACTAAATCTTTAATAGCAGAACATATAAAAGAATATCGATATCTACATATAGGATCAAAATATATATATATATATATATTGGTGTAGAACCCGAGATGCATTAGGAGACCATTAGATTGGGCCTCGTCCAGGTGTAAGTGTTAATAGATATGGGCTTGGTCCAGATTGAAAGAAGGCTCTTGTTTTCTCGCACCCCTATAATTTCTCCTTATACCTCCATATCCCAAGTTAAATATTTAAAATATTATTTTCATAATTTTGTTTTTTATCCTAACTTCGTCCTTTATTTGTATACAACTTTTGCACCTCCATCCCTCGGTGCTTCCATCCCTTAGATATTTGATTTTTTTGTTATCACCTCCATTAAAAGTCTTTTTTAACAATTAAAAATAAATAATAATTAATATTATGTATGAATTATAATTGTACTCAAATTATACAAACAGACCCAAATTACTTACTTAATTTAAAGCGAAAATAAAATTGAATTTCAAAATATCCACTCTAGAATGCATTTTCAGAAACACATTATGAAATATTCATTCCATAATATTGTTATGTAGGATGTATTTCTGAAAATTAATTCACAAAAATGGATCCGAAAAGCATTTCTAGAAAATTAATTCTAAAAATTAAAAAATTATGAAAACGCAGAAAATAATAACCATAAAGAATCCTCGTTTGTCTTTAAGATACAAAATATTTAAATTATTTACCTTATTTTATTAACAAGTATTCCAGACAAAATATTATTTATTAAATTAAGTCATTTTTTAATAAAAGTATCTCTTTTAGTATAAGCAAGTTATTATTATACTTAAAATAAAATTTTGTATGTCACGTCATTTTTAAATAATTAATATTATTTTTTTATAAATTTTTGTTTAAATAGATAAATTTTATACACATTAGTACTTTTATATTTTTTTAATCATATTTCCCTTGACAACTTAAAAATAGTTTAATTATTACAATTAAATATTAATTTAATATAATATTTTAATTTAAAACAAGGATAAATTTATAAAAGATTTTGATTTTTTATAAAGATTAAATTAAAATTAAACAAATTTTACTAAAATTTAAAAATATTTAAATAAGTATTATATATTATTTAAAATAAAAATAAAAGTATTTCTTTCTATATGTCTTATTTTTTTAGAATTGAAGTTAATAATTTTTTAATAAATATGATTCGAGAGGTTGATTTATTAAAATAGTTAAGAATGTTAGAAAATAAATTTTTTGTGTGAAATATTTTATTTTTTATTTGTTTTCGTTTTTCTTATTAAACAACATTTGTAAAAGTAAATTTGACAAAATTTAACAATTTTATTGCGTAAATCAACTTCAATATAATTATTTATAAAATACATGTATTTATTTTAAAAGAATGTAGTTAAATATTTTTTACTGGATATACTCTAAATTAATATAAACATTTTATATTTAGCATTAGAGAGAGTCTCCAATGATATTTAATTATAATATAATGTTTTTAGGAGTGTGACCACATACAACGTACTTAAGAAATTTTAAAACCTAATAAGTATGAAAATAGTTTTATTTTAAATTTAATTGTAATTATGAATAGTTGTTTATATATATATATATATATATATATATATATATATATATATATATATATATATATATATATATATATATCACATAGTTGACTGAAGTTATTATAGTATTGTGAATCTCATTGATTCGAAGGTTAAATATTAATTATTCTAACAATGATTGAGTACATATTAATATTTGATAAATTATTAATTTAAATAAAATTAATTAAGTTTAAGTTGTTTTTTTATCTCAACCAATAAACAACGTAGAAATGAATAATTTCAAAACAAAGTTATAAAATATTATAGATAATATACTTATTCAACTTAAAGATTTATAATTATTACTATCTTTTGGTTAAACACTTGGTATTATTTATAATATCTTCTTTAATTTTATAAGGCACCCAATAATTGGTCCAAGTATTGAGTGCCTTAATCCACTTAAAATAAAATATATGAAACAACCTTATTATCCCTGCTTTGTTTAACATTACTAGCTTCATTTTCATGCAATGTCATCTTCTGCATCTCAACTCTTTCTCGTTTTTATATTCTATTTATTATTTTATTTACAAGGCAAAAGGTGTAAGCCATACTATCATTTTTATATTCTATTAATTAAAAAAAAAAAAATAGAAGAGCCACAAGGGGTTTATCTGGACCTTTATATTTATGTAATGATGATATGCATAAATGTACAGATAGTTGAAAGTTATAGGTAACTCTTTTACCCTAAGTACTTCTAATGGAGTCAGGTATTGACATTGAAAAGGAACTGTCATAAGCAAATTCCAGATCCTCAAAATCCCATAACTCCTCCTCTGGCTCTTCTTCCTCTGCCATTTCCCACTTCTCTTTATCCATCTCCCACTCCTCCATTACTTCCATTACCTGTCAAACACACACAAAACAATAAAACTTAATTGGATCAATAATATTAATAAACATGTACATAATACAACAAAGTAAGCTGCTATATAGCAGTCATTTGTTCAAAGTTTTAATACAGAATGGAGCTTTAGGGTCTATCACAGACGAATTTTGCTGTACTGATTAAGAAAATAGGAGGGGACCAGTCACAGACTTAGACTACACTACCTACGTAGCATTACATAGTATGTATTAATTATATGATTTCATAAACATTAAATAGTGTTACTTATACAATGCCGTGGTGGTTACACCAGTGGGAGTTATTATCTTAATCTGATGACCAAAACAAAGTTATTGATTAGGTTCAATATCACCCAAAAGAAGAAGAAAAAAAATGATTACTGGTTTTGCAGAGAACAAGTTATTTTCATACATGAGAGTGAGTAGTAAAAGAAATCAATATTAAAATGTAATCAGCCTAGCCACCAGCTATTGTCACATTAGTAATGTTGAATTTGTGAATAAGAGCTAAATCTTTCCTTTGACTTAAGCACTCTATGACAGAAGACAAAGATATATAATCCAACTCTAACCAAATAAATAAATAAATTTAATTAGAATACACTGATATTGTAAATATGTTTTTAGTCTTTTATCAATAAGACAATGTTCATTGTTGTAGTCTCTTGAAATCAAATTGTCTCTTACTGATGTAGCATTTATAAAAGAAGTGAGCAATGTGATCCTTATTTTCATAAACAAGGAATCAAAAGGAACATATACTTTTGTGAAGGGTTGGGCTGAGAATGGAATAACATCTAATAAACATGAGATTTCTGGAAAGTGTTTGAGGTACCTCACTCATGGTAGGTCTGCAAGTTGCAGATGCCCGGATGCACAGGGAGGCAGCAAAGGCTACCCTACTAAACTGAGTCACGTCATAAGCCCCTCCAAGCCTTGGATCTACCACCTTTTCTATCTCCCCTTTGTTTAGTATTGGTTTAGCCTACATATCAAGTCAAATGGCACATACTTATTTCCCCAAAAATGTTTAAACAATGTAACACTAAACAAGTTCACCATTAGTCTAGCCTAAAACTAGACCAACCAAAGCAGATGTGAGGTTTCCCATGAAACACGGCAATATTAGAATTAAGTGTTTAAAATAACAAGAGTTTCAACATCATAGGTGGGGAATAGGGATACTACCCAGCTGTGCACGCTTTGGTGAGATCCATCCACTGGTTTCCTCCCAGAAAGGATTTCAAGCAAGAACACACCAAAGGCAAATACATCTGTCTTCTCATCCACAACTCCATGCAAGTAGTACTCTGGCGCCAAATGCCTACAAAAAATAATAACAAATTCCCATTTAAAAACAAAGTTTACAAATCGATATAATACTAAATTTACATAATAGCAAATTAGCAAATCACATAAGGGAAACTGAAAAGAAGGGTACCCACCCAAATGTGCCTTCTATTGGGGCTATTGAGTGGTGAGTCCACTGAGATGGAAGCCACCTTGCTAGTCCAAAATCAGATATCTACCACAGTTAAATTAAAAAAGAAAGAGTAAAGCCTCCAAAATCAGTTTTGTTGAGACACTAGTTGAACAAATGAAAACCAGTAGAGTACAAATTGAAGAACCTTTGGTTCAAAATCTGCTGTTAACAAAATGTTTGAGGCCTTGATGTCCCTATGAATTATCCTTCTCTTGCAGCCTTTGTGCAAGTAGTGAAGGCCATGTGCAGTTCCAAGAGCTATCTTATACCTTGTTTTCCAATCCAAAGGAGGTAAGTTCTCATCTACATGGAACATTCACACACTAATTATTAAGACCCTTTCTTTTTTATTTTCTGCAAAACAATACCATGACAGATTTTGCAAATTACAGTTGCAGATTTTCTGTTTCTTTCGTTTTTGTTGGATTTTATTAACGTACCATGAATAAGAGAAGCAACAGAACCAACGGTGGATAGCTCAAAAACGAGGTAAAGTCCATTGTCAATACAACACCCCAGAAGAGGCAACACGTTGGCATGGCGCACGTGACCAATGGTGCCAATCTCTATGAGAAACTCCTTCTCCTTCCTCTCATCAGTTGAAGTTTTCGTGAGCCTCTTCACTGCAACTTCCTCACCACAACGCAACGTTCCCTTATAAACCTCTGCATACCCTCCTCTCCCAACCAAATTCTCTACAAAACAAGAAAAAATGTCATAAACAAAGAAACTTAGTATATCAAACAAAACAAACAAAAAAGATAGACTGAGATCAAGGCTTTAAAAAGGTTCTCATTTGTGCCAACTTCAAGGTTTTTGGAGTTTCTAAGATTGCAACATGTTTGCAATTTTTCATAACACTTATTTTTTTCCCCATGTACATGATCTACGAAGTATCACAAAGCCACATCAAAGGACTAATTATGCCCAAGATTTATTTTTTTCTTGACCCCAACATGCTTATAATTTACATGATATCAAGGCTTGTGATGCAAATGTAACGGTAACTGCAACTATGAAGTACCTGAGCTAAAACCATTGGTGGCATCAAACAACTCTTCATAGGAGAAGCATTTCCAAGAGGGTCTTGGAGGGTGCTCTTCACATGAAGGAGCCACCAACCTCACATCGTTTTCTTCCCCAAACCCGCGTTTCCCAAACGAGAAAAGCCTCTTCAAGCTGTTGCTCGGAATATACTTCATTGCAATAAGCACCAAACAGGGGACTCTGTTTTCATGCAGAGCAGAAACAGAGAACACAAGTTTTGTTTTTGTGACGTGAAAGAGAAGAACGAAAGTGAGGTGTGTGGTTTTGTTCTCTCAGTGTGTTAAAGAGACACAGAGAGACGCAAGGTTTCGAGAGGGAAGAGAGAATGAAAATGTGGAAGAAGAGAGAATAAGTGCAGTGCATGTGTACTTTGGAGTGCGTTAGCTACGATTAAATGCGTTGTCTCGTATAAACAAGGAATGACAGAGCCTTTTTCTTCATGACGTATATGGCAACCGAAGCTAAAAGATCTGACACGTTAGAACAAGACAAATTGCCATCACCAAACAAAAACAACTGCTACTAAGTATTCTTAAAAAATAAAAAATAAAAATTCTAACAATATGTTCTATCTTTGTCGAGATTCCTATTTTATCGTATAAAATAAATTTGATTTTCAAATTTTAAAAATATGTTTATGTAATTTCTATTTGATTATTTACAGAATAAAAGTACCTAATTTATCAATATAAAATACATAAATTTTGATCGTTTTGACTGAAATTAATAGAGAACGCCATTAATAAAATATTTATATTTATTAAATTGTCTACTTATATTTTTAAGGCATTAGTAAAGAAAATTAACCAAAAAATATTATTGTTTAACCTAAAAAAATTAGACTCGCCAAATTCTTTTTATGATCTCCCTAATATATTTTTTCTTGAATATCATTTTATGATTGGAAGAATACGCATTTATATAATGATTTCATGGGTACAATTAAATAAAAAAGTATTAAATATTCTTTTTTTTTTATGAAATGAAATACCTATCATGTTAATAAACATTATTATAAATACACATGTTTTATGTAAACTATAGCTATGTTATTGAAATTTTACATATTTATAAACTTTAGAATCCATTAGGGAATAATTTCATGTTTACTTTTATTTAAAACAAAAGTTTCATTTATTACTTAATTATTAAAAGTTAATCTGACATTGAGAACTCAAATTGTTGTCTTGTAATTTATGGTTATGTACTTATAAATGACTAAGCATAATGATTTAAGAATATAAACAATTTCTCCAACTTAAGAGGATTTGAATTAGGTAAAATTTCTTACAGCACAGCCATGTTATGACAAATATAGTAATGAAGTTGTGAACTAAGCCGATTGAACTTTGCTCAAGAATCTGAGTCCCCACTAAAAAGTGAGAGATTCTTATATTCCATTAATTAGTGATGTAATTTCATTACCTTTAATAAGTATATATAGATCTTTATTTACATATGCTTTTCTTTTTCTTTTTCTCTTTTGAACTATGAACTTCAAATTTCAAAATGTCAATTCATATTCATGTTTTTGTAGAATGAAAATGGAGCTATGTTATTTGGAGGGAAATTACTTTCAGTGGAAAGAATTACTATTTTTTATACATAGCTCTACAAAATTTAATTTGTAAACTTTTTTTCGTACTCCTTCTCTAAAATTTTATTTCAAAATTATGCATACACTAGTACAAAAAACACTTTTAACATCGGACTTTTTACATCGGTTGTTAAAGAACCGATGTAGAAATTTTTTTAAAGCCTTTCCACATCGGTTCAGATGGGAACCGATGTAGAAAGTACTTTCTACATCGGTTCCACCATGAACCGATGTGGAAAGTGTTTTCTACTCTGATTTAAAATAATTCTGATCGGTCATAAACTCATTCTGATCGATCATCCAGTTCTGATCGGTCATAAAGCCATTCTGATCGGTCATCTGATATACTATTTTACTTTCTAATGTAGTTGTATATGTGGTTGTATACAGGGAATTGAAAAATGTGGTTGTATATGATAGCGGTTAAATCTTAACCGCTATTATAATAGCACTTCTAATAGCGGTTAAGTCTTAACCGCTATTATATAGCACGTCTAATAGCGGTTAAGTCTTAACCGCTATTATATAGCACGTCTAATAGCGGTTAAATCTTAACCGCTATTATATATATTCAAATATGATCGGTCATAAAGTCATTCTGATCGGTCATCTGATATACTATTTCACTTTCTACATCGGTTCCCCCATGAACCGATGTGGAAAGTGTTATCTACTCTGATTTAAAACAATTCTGATCGGTCATAATCTCATTCTGATCGATCATCCGGTTCTGATCGGTCATAAAGCCATTCTGATCGGTCATCTGATATACCATTTTACTTTCTACATCGGTTCCCCCATGAACCGATGTGGAAAGTCTTAAAAAAAAATTAATAAAAATTTTAGACAAGTAAGCCCTAGACTCCACTCTTGCCCTTACGGACTCGACTCCCGGACCCAATTACGGACTCGACTCCCTCCGGAATTCTTCCCTTGCTCCTAGCCATTACCAAATTCATTCTCGCAGTAGCGAAAACCACCGTCTCCTTGCCCCTATCGCAGATAGCGAAAACCACTGTCTCTCCCATCTCCTTCCCCCAATCGAATCCCTAACCTCCGTTTCCCCAATCGAATCCCCAAGCGAAAACCACCCTTGTCGTGCACCAAGAACTGCGACGCGCACCGAGAACTGCGACGCGCACCAAGAACTGCGACGCGCCACCCTCGTCTTCACCTCTCCGAAACCCTCTAGGAGCTCCTCCTCATTGCACCTGCGCACCTTCGATCTCGTCGCGAACCGGAGGTGATTCGGACCAGGTCCGTGGGTCTATCCTATTGGCTTCTCATCCTTGTTTTGTCAATTACCTTTATGCATTTTCCTTGATTCTGGATTGTTTTGTTTGGTCGTGGACTCGATTCTCGCTCTGGGTTTAATGTATGTAGACATGTTTATTCCGGGTTTTGTATTATTATTTCCGTTTAGTTTGACTTGAATATGTGATTTTCACTTGGTTATTCTCGTGGGGTTGAGATTGGTGTTATCCAAGCCCCGTTGGGTTGATTGATGTCGCTCTGGTCCGAGTCTCTTAGCGGAAGAGTTAAGGCTATGGGTTTCCACGCTGGGGTGTAGGGCTTTGGGGTATTGATTATATTTGGTTCTCTTGTTTTTCATTTGGGTTTGTTTCTTATGTTGTTGATTTAGGTTTGTTCTTTGTGTTGTTTGTTTTGTTCCTGGAGTTTTACCTGTTGTTCCGAGTACTATTTCGGTTTGGATTATAGTTTGAGTTGTTTAAGTTTGTTGCCTCCGAATAGAGGTAATTCCATTTTCACACTAAGCAAAGACGTCATGTACCTATAGATATGGATCGGAGTTGGATAAATGCCAAACGTATAGAAGAAGAATATGAATTAGGGGTTGAAGAGTTCTTAGAGTTTGCACAAAGAAATGTGGGTAACAATAGAGGTCTCTTTTATTGTCCTTGTGTGAAGTGCTTAAATTTAAGACAACTAAGTGTGAAGGATATAAGAGAGCATCTCCTTTGTGATGGATTTTGCAAGAGTTACACTAAGTGGATTTGGCATGGGGAAGTAGTAGATTTCCCAATGGCTTCAGAGACAACTGAAATCTAGAAAGAAACCAATGATCGACTAGAGGATTTGATACGTGATATCGGTGAAGAGCCATTTGAAAAAGGATATGTATTCGAAGAACTATGCGAAGATAGTAAGAAGCCTCTGTATATAGGATGTTCTAAGTTCACACGGTTGTCAGCAGTGTTAAAATTATTTAACTTAAAGGCCAAAAATGGGTGGACGGATAAAAGTTTTACAGAGTTGCTACAATTATTAATGGAAATGCTTCCAGAAGGGAATACACTTCCAAGCCGTACTTATGAAGCAAAGAAAGTAATCTGTCCGATGGGTATGGAGTATAAGAAGATACATGCATGCCGTAATGATTGCTTATATATGAATCTGTCTTTGTGACTAATTAAATACTCTAGGTCTGGTTCATGACAGATTAAATAACTGTAAAGATCTGTGCTTCACTCCTTTGAGCTAAATAGTATCCAGATTTTACTTTTTATATTCATAAGTAAGTACTTCATAATAATTGTGCTTCATTCCCAAATCCCGATCCAGACAACATTCAATTGTTTAAGATAAGTATACTAACACCCTTGTATAATATTTCATTCATTTCATTTTAAGTTCCACATGTCTTAATATGAAGTATTTTCCATTTAATCTTTTATAGGTGTATAGAAGCATACTCGATCATGGAGGGTAAGCCTAAAAAGAAACCCACATGGATACTTCCACGTGTAAGGACATTATCTTTCAAATTCTTAACTTTAATTTACTCATTTTCTCGTATTTAATGTTTTTTTTTCTTATAGTGTAATAAGCAAAAAGGAAGTTGGGAGTGCGGATATTATGTGATGAGACATATGTTAACAATCATCACAAGCAAATATCACAGATTCATGGAATTTGGTATGTGTTATGACTATATCTATGTCATTGACATATATTTGCCTACTTCGCTTATCCGAAATGTTTTTTTTTGTTTGTAGATATTCGATGATGGTCATCCAATAAGTGAAGCAGAGATTGATGACATTAGACGAATTTGGGCAGATTTTGTTATTAAGAACTATAGTCGTGATTGAATTTAATTGTGAAACATTAGGATCTGCTATTTTCTTTGTATATATAAACTTAGAATACAATACATGTTTATTGTTTGTTGATACAATACAATGTAGATATATAATATACATTATGTTTACTTGTGTGTTAATGCATGTCCTCTATATATAGATTAACATTCTGAGTAGCTATAAATATTTAAAATGCTGTACAGGTTCTGAAAAATCAAAAACTAAAATTCGTATTTAAAAAAATATATGACTTTCCACATCGGTTATGGTCATAACCGATGTAGAAAGTGATTTTTAATACTTTCCACATCGGTAACCGATGTGGAAATTCAGACTTTCTACATCGGTTATGGCCTATAACCGATGTGGAAAGTCAGACTTTCTACATCGGTTCTTAACCGATGTTAAAACTCACCAACTTTCTACATCGGTTGTATCTACATCGGTTCTAAAACCGATGTAGAAAGCTGCTAAGAACCGATGTTAAAGGTGTTTTCTAGTACTAGTGATAAGTTAATTTGAATTTGTGAAGAAATTAGTTTTATTTTTCTTTTAATTATTTTTTGTAAAATATTCTTTTTGTAAATAGACATTTAATGTCCTTCTTTCATTGAAGAAAGATATTTGTTTTCACTGCAATAAATTGATCACAGTGTTTTCATTCAGCATTATTTGGTTAGGTTTAGGGTTTGTCATGTGTTTAAAAGTTTCAACTGAATCTGGACTCAGGCACATGGAGCTGAAAACCCTAATTAATCTACACTTGTCAAGTTTTTGAAAAACACCATAGTAATGTTTATAATTAAATTCATGCATAATTTATATCTTTAAAATAACACATTAATTGTATTAAATATTTTATTTATATTTTCTTTACTGGTGGTAGTTATTAGAAAAGGGTTTAGTCCTCTCATTACCAATATTTTATTTTGTATAGTAATGATAAAAATGCTTATTTTTATATACTAATTTTTTGATTATTAATTCAAATAAAAAAAATATTGTAATTCAATTTGAAAATAAAGATGAAAGAGAGTAGATTAAAAATGATAGTGCATGATGAATATAATTTATAATCCATTGCAAACATGCACTTAGAAAGGTGTTATGATGAGTTTATGATTAGCACTAAGAAAAGTGTGGTGATATTAAAACAAAATATTTTGATAATCTCTCTTTATGTGATATTAATATTATATGTTATATATCGTATAATTAGAAAATTATAAATAATAGTTTGAACTTTGAACTTGTGCTTTCTTTATGTATATATATACAATATGTAGAATAATGAATGTTTGGTGGTTTTGGTAATCAATGTATTTGTAAACACATATTTTTAATAAAACCAGAAACCAAAATCTTTGTCACCATGCAATAGCATGCCAAATAGAGACAAGTGGAGGTACCAAAAGGCAAGAACATGCTCAAAGGCTAAAAGTTCTCACATCATAATAATTAAGTAACTCCCTCCTTTTCTCTTAAAAAAAAAACCTTTCTAGTAAATTATTCACTTTGCCTAATTATTTTCTAATTTTAGGTCAATGGTTAGTCAAACCTTTCAATATGGTGTAATTATATATATATATATATATATATATATATATATATATATATATATATATAGTCACGTAAATACTACAATTTTTTTATTCTTTTTGATTTATGAATAATGTTCACAATGTCTCAGATTCATTTTCCATCTTGGTACTTGGTAGACATGTAATTAACTAGAACAAAACGTTTTGCAATCAGATTATAGAAAATGATTTGGATGTCAAATCATCAATCAGTCATATATGGTTGAATATTCAATGTGCAGTCACGAGCTGAAACATAATATTGCTACTTTTCGAAACACAGCACGACTTTTTCTATGGCGTGTGTGGCCATCCATGAGGCATATCAGACCATATATAATCTTGGAAATTGACAAAGAAAGTCAGATTTCAAGCAAAGTAATTAGAGTTCCTTAATTAGCTCGGGAAAACTTGAACAGTATCTTCGTGAAAATTCAAACTGTTCTGCGTACCATGCTATTTTATTTTTCTTAATTTCTCACTCCTTTTTATGACCTTCACAATTCACCTTGGACTATGTGTTAATATACACTTCAAACCAATTTTATTGGAGTATTTTACACCTAACTTGTAAGGAGGAAAAAGGAAAACAAGTTTCATCTAGATATGAAAGAGAAACCTCAATTAAGAGGCATGTTGGTAAGAATGCTTTGTTAAATAATTTTGATTGCCAAATGCTTGAAAACTCATCAAAGTAAAAAGGAAAAAAGTGTTGCTTTCAAAGTAAAATATTTTGTACTTTCTATATTTTAATTCAAACATGCAATTATACCCTTTGTACTACTTTTTAGTCTTTCAAGAAATACAAGAGCTACCAAAGAACAACAACTACCTAAAGATCTTTTGGTCAAAATGGCAACCAACTAATCTAGATCACAAAACTCTATCTCAGCATAGTAAGATCCCTTGGCTGGGTTTATTTAGTAATGAATTTCTCAATGATCCTTTCTCCATTGTGGCATAGTATGAATACAAGATAAATTAGGCTAGTAAAATGGGGCACATAAGTGGGCAAATAAGTGTCTATATTATTTATGTTTGTTCACCCAAAAAAAATCAACAAAAGGATCTTGGGAGATATGAGCTTGTAGTTCTTCCAAAAGACACACTATATATAGCAGAAAGGAAGATGCTAATTAATAGCATTAAAACCCAAGTCTTCCATATGAAAACACCAACATGAAAAGCTAGTTACAAGATCATTTCTTCAGATAACTAAGGTCTTGTTCTGATAAACTTCCTGAGTAAAAATCAGTTTATACATTTTAGTTTTGGACAGGTTAAGTGAAAGATCTTGTGCAATAAGATTGCAGGAATAATGCCAAAAGATTTTATAGTTGCGTCCAAGGTATTACATCTTGAAGCAATAGTTTCTTGATAATATGAAGATAAGTGGAGCAAATAGACTTGAGCAACTCATATTCCATTGAGAGTAACGACAATCGTTCGCGATGTAGGATAATCCCTATGTTCACAAAGCCATATACCCTTAAGCATCATGAAAAAAAAAAATGAAATGTACTTTAGTCAGAATTACTTGGTTTGGTTGTAAAAAGTGGGGAGAAAAAAAAAAGAATCAGTTATCAGTACTAATCCTAACCAAGATATGATTACGAAAGTTAATTTTGCTACCTGCCATGTCCCCATATTAAGCTTTCCATTTGTGATCGGTATCCTAAAACCACAAGATATATATCAGTACTGGATATATATATATATATATATATATATATATATATATATATATATATATATATATATATATATATATATATATATTAATTGTAGCATGAGAATAAGTTTGAAGAATATATGAAACATCTTACGTGAGTGCACAACCAAACATTGATGATTTAATATGTGCTGGCATGTCATCTGGTCCTGCAAAAATATATGTCTGCAAATTAAATATATTGACATGTCATTCAATCCCAAGATTACTGAATTTTCTTGCAAGAATATTCGTAAACCATTATCAGCTGAAAATGAAAACCAGAAATCACATGTTGAAAGGTAACAGTTGTTTAACCTTCGATCCTAACAAATAAATTGAATAATCAAATGAAAGACATTTGAGAAGTCTTTATGTTAGTGAGATAATACTATATGCTATTAAAAATATATAACCTAAAATTTTGTAATTTTATAACCTAGCCTAAAATATGCCAATAACTAATAAGAAATTCATTAAATATCAACTGATATAGAGATTAAATAAGTTAAAGTCTAAGTTTTAATTAATATAGCTAAGGTCTTGATAGCTAAGATTAAAGATCAACTTAAATTCTAATTCAAAAATTAATTTAACTAAAATAATGACTAAATATTTTTAATATCTAAATTAGTTAATATTTAATAAATTTCTTGAAATTAAATAATAACTCTAACAGTCTTATCATCCTAGTTTAGAAAACTACATTAAAAATTAAATAATTAGCAAAATATTCTATTCTTTTAAATAAAATGTTTTAATCTTTTAGGTTTTAAGATATTTTTGAGTTCTACTCGTTTGGTTAAAAGAAAAATAAACTAACCCTCCAGAGTGTGCTTCCATGGTGCAGATGGCCCCTGCAAGATATATACATTCAAAGTTCATTTGAAGGCCTTTTGTGGTAAACAGTGTATATTAAAACAAATATAAGAACTAAATAGAAAACTCACCTCTGGAACTAAACGATTGAGGAATGTTTCTGTATCATCCCGAACATCATAGTCATAATTTTCATTGATGGTGAGAGAAGCACTTGTGTGATGCACTATATATTTGTTGGTAGAAGTTCATTCTATGAACCCTAAATTGGATTCAACATAAAAACAAATAAAAGGACCCTGTTTCATAAATATACTTACAGAAGAGATGAGCCAGACCACACTTGAATCCAGACAATTCTTGCCCAACTTCTTTCACTATCTGAACCAAAATGGTTAAGAACCCAACAATGTTAATATTTGTTTAGTCTATCAATAAAATGAAATTTTTTTCACAACTTTAAGGTATTATAATTGCATATTCCATTAAAGAATAAGATGAAGTTGAAATCATCTCTCCAAATTTTCCTATCTTCAATTACTCACCAACCCACTGTAGCCATGATGATAGATTGAAAACAATATTAACACGACAATGCAGAAGTTCAATTACTGACACACCTTTGAAGTTACGTGATGACAACCACGTTTAAGGGGAGGCAAAGTTATAGTCTTTTGAGCCCACTTAGGAGCAGCCACCGTAGCCGTGGAAGAAGGGTCGTTAATGGTTGCTGGGTTTGTGTGCAGTGACTTCACCCGAAGAGGAACCTTAGCTGCTATACTGATTGAGGAGACTTGCATGCTTGATACTATAGTTGAAAGGGAAGATAAGTTCTTCCTCCGAACGAGTGAATGAACTAAAATGAAATGCTTCCATTATTGAGCCATGAAATTAGCATTTAAGTATTTGGTGGAATCTGTGATGTAACACAGACATTGGTTGTGGTTGTGGTTTCTGTGGTGCCACCATCAAATGCTGCAATTTTGACCGCACGTTTATGCTTCCAGAAACCAACGGTTATGGTTGGTTGGTTTTAGACTGAAACATATTATTTTGTAATGAAAATTAAAGATAATTTATACAACAAAAATTAATAAATATTTTATAAGTTAATTATCCTATATAGTTTTCATATAGAAATTTGTTTTAGTTAATTAAAAAAAATCACATTAAAGATAATTTATCAAACACATTCCTTTAAATCATCAAAATTTGTAGAGACTATTTATATGTCAAAATTTGTATAAAATTACTTATGAATGATAGTAAGAATACATAAGAGCTTGGTTGTGGTTTAAGTTTTATTATATTAATTTTTATTTTTATAATATATGGTAAGACTTTTTTTATCTTTAATTAATTTTTAAATTATAAATATTGCCTTTGAAATTTTCATATAAAGTTAATGACATAAAATTATTGAAAAGAATAAAATTATTAAAATTAAATTTAAAAATAACAAAAAAAGTGTAGACGGAGAAAGAAGGGGATTTTGGCTGGAGAAGTCCCTGTTTACCCAGCCAAGCCATGGCAGCAACCGTTCCTTTCTCTCTGCTAAGGTACGCCTTCCTCTTTCGCTTTCATTTTCCCTCACTTCCCTCTGATCTCTTTAGTTTCGCTTCAAATTCGTTGCAGGAACTGCGCGCCATTGAAACTAGCAACACCCTTCGCTCGCAAAGCCTCCAACTTTAATCTCCTTTTCCCTCTTCAACCACGCAGGTTTCTGTTTCTTGCCTCGCTTTTCTTTTCAGATCGTTTCAGCATTTGTCTGAATTTCTGGAACTGTCAGGCAAATTTTAGCGGTGAATGAACTTTCGGTTTTTGTCATTATCTACTTCTCATTTATCCATTGAAATTTATAGTTTGAAAATTTGTTCAACTAATTATAGAGAAAGAGTTTTAGAGCAAGGTAGACTGCATTACTCATTTATGAAAATTGGAACTGAAAATAAATAAAAAATATTTTGTCGAACTAAACCCTTAGAAGAAGGCCTACGGCCCTAAGTATTGTTGTAAATTACTCCACATTTAAAGGATTTATGTTGGAATATTATGTTGGCCTCCCCTCTTGTTCTTAAAAGTCTCAATAGTTTATTTAAATGATTTATTAATGTTGTGATTGGCATTGTTACAAATGTTTGGGATTCTTCTGTTGTTAGTTAGATTTGAAATCGAGTGTTTTGGTTGATTTGAAATATACATGTTTGATTTCATCTTATGCGAACTTTTCCTTTTTTGGAGCAAGTAGTGACTGTACTCTGGTTATAGACTTGCTCTGTGATCTATAAGTGTGTTTTGACATCTTGCTTAGTTGTTACAGGTTGGGCTTTTGTACTCATGCCACAAATAATGAAGAGGCTGCAGCAAAAGCAGCTGCTGTTAATTTTGATAGTGAAGCTCCAACAATGTAACAGCCTTTTCTCTTGTTGCATAATTTTTTTTTATAATGGTTTTCTCTTTATTCATGTATGTATAGTTATGTTGTCATGATTATTAAACTCAAATACAAGGGAGTGCAGATTTCACTGCATGGTACCGATTTTGCAAAATGATTCCACCGGTATTGAACTTTTCTCCCTTTGTTTCCCTCTAAGAATGATGTTAAAGATGACATTGATTTTACATTCAAAGGGTTCAGTGGGATTTAAAGATTTTAAACCTGAATTATTGTAAGGTTTCCCTTTCAAATGATAACTTTGATGGTCAATATGAATGTCAGGGAATGACAAATATAATCAGTGGAGTATGGATGGAACCCTTTTGGGCTTCATAATCAATGTATTTCTTGATATTTATGGACTCACTGGCACACACACATGCACAGATGCATGCAAATTTATGCTTGCTTAATCTTTTTATTGCGTTTCTTGTCTTTATTTGTTTAATTTTGTGAACTCTTCTATTTCCTTTCCAGATTTGATAAAATCATCAACAAGGAAATCCCTTCTAGTATTGTTTACGAGGATGAAAAGGTTCTGGCATTTAGAGATATTAATCCACAGGCTCCAGTTCATGTTCTAGTCATTCCAAAATTTAGAGATGGATTAACACAACTTGGGAAGGTCAATAATCACCCCTTTTTCTATGTGTACACTGACAATTTTTTACATGATTTTTCCTTTTAGTGATTCTTTTGCTTTTTCCTGCACTCTGGCTACTAACATCACGTAAAATAACAAGGATTTATGTATATGGCTTCCTGTATAGTATTTTAAGTAAATGGCTTCTGGGAGAAACTCTAATTTCTCATGAAAATTAGTTTACTGAAATTGTATTTACTATTAAGATGTTTATGTGGAGACATGCAAATAGAAGATAAGAAGCATCGTTGAAAATAACTGAATATATAACTTGTAAGTGAGGCCCCTAAGGTAACAACTCTTGATGAATTGAAATTCAGTAATACCACATGCTTGTCTAAGAGGAAAACTAATATGAATTTAAACAGAACAAAAATACTGATTTTAGCTACTCTGAATAGGTCGGTTTTGCATTTGTAATGTATCTCATCCACAATGGCCAGATTGCATTGTATTCCTATTTCTCTTATGGCAGTCTTATTTTGAATATACTTTCACATTATAGAGCCCCTAAAAGTTACTTTTTGATTCAAATTTTCTTACTTTTAATCTCTAATTAATGTTATTTTGTAGCTGGTTGTCAGATTTTGGGTTAATTTTGATCATTGAGTGATTTGGATGTCTCATTAGATAGCAACATTACACTGGGTTTTTTATTATGATCTGATTATAAGTGTTTATATGCCAAAAAAGGAGCGAGTTTTTCTTTAAGGCTACCCCACCATTGTAGGATATTTTCCGGTCTCTCTATTTGCAGCAAGGAAAAGATGAGTTCTTTTCACGTTATATATAAAATCTCCTTTTACAGGCTGATAGCAGACATGGGGAAATATTGGGTCAACTTCTCTATGCTGCCAAAATAGTAGCTGAGAAAGAAGGTATCGTCGATGGATTTCGAGTCGTCATCAACAATGGTCCAAGTGCATGTAAGCTTGTTTACATGCTCAACAATTTATCCGATTATTTTCACTTGTTTTGCTTATAGTGGTGCCACAACCTGCTGACTTCCTTTTCTCATACTCCTTATTTTGATTAGGTCAATCTGTGTATCATCTGCACTTGCATGTATTAGGTGGGAGACAGATGAATTGGCCACCAGGTTGAATTCTTGTTAAATTATAACGTGAATTTTTCTTATGAATCTCTCATGGATATTTCTCCTTCAATAGTTGTAATTTTATGACCTACGTATAAATAAAATATAGGAACCAGTGATCCTTCGGTTTTTGGTTAAATGTTTATCAGTGGAAGTTTATTTATAATTAAATTGAAAGGGTGAAATGCTCGTTAGTTTTTACTTGGAAAACCCGACCTTGTTATGTCTCGAATAGTATTAGGTAGAATATTTGGCCATCTTGCCTCTGAATGATTCTATTTTCATCGCATGCACTAACTTTTCATGGTTTTGTACTGTGACTGATTAATTCTGTGATAAGCAAAGTAAACTATTTTGTTGCAATGATAGAAAATCACTTATAGCTTATTTTTAGCCCAAGATTTAATCTCAATTTAAAATAGGAAACTTTTTCCATACATTTTATGTTGAAAATATTTTTGGTGCTCTGCATGTCACATTTTTTTCTCTTTAATTTGAAACTTCTACAAAAAAAAAAAGGGTTTTAATTTACTCTTTATTTGTAATTTTTCTTTTGTTCCTATTATTCGTTGTTGTCAAATATTGTGAGATTAGCATGAAGTTATTATGAAATATAAAAACCGTTTTAGAATTTATGGTTGAACATTGTTTTGCTTTCAGAATTTAGGAGGTATTTCCAGAATTTTTAATGAAGCATTTTTCTTGGCCACCTCAGTAAGACCTGAATTTAATTGGTCTGTTTGGGAGATTGATTTTAAGCTTTAAGGTTTCCATTTTTACCGAATTAATTGATATATATTTAAGGGAATATTTAAAAAAGTTATAAATTTATGTTGTTTGTCATACATGAATAACTTTTAATGACGTCTGTCAAAAGAAAGTAAAACATTTACTGACATATAGGGGATCAAAATATGGATTAACATTAAAATAATTATCGCAGTGGGCCTAAATTTAAAATTTTCTCGAATTAAATTTAAAAGTAAGGAAGAAGACTTCATGGAAATTAAAAATTGAAAAACAGAATTTGAGATTACGGAAAATCTGAAATTTAGAACAAATTATTCTTAATTCCAATCAAGCTAGCTGCGTTTATTGGCTGAATCCATTCATTAATCATTAAATTTCTGAAAACAAAATCTAACGCGCTGATTGACTTGTCATATTTAAGTAGTTGACTCCACCCGCTGCCATTATAACAGGTCGGTGACTGATGCTGAAGTGTGTCTGTGATGAACAGTCCCGCCAAAAGTATTGGCAACATTCAGATCAAAACCTGCCATTTGGCGTTACTTTTTATTGGACCCAAGTCACAAATTTTCTGTTCAAAGGACAAAATTTGTATTACTCATCGATTAGAAATATAAATAACATCCGTTTAAATTATATTTACCCCAACATTTTTAAATAAACTTTTTTATTAAGTAAAAAAAATGCGAGGGCAAATAGAAATTTCATTAAGTATTTTACCATTCACGAGTAAATATCTTATACTGATAATATAATAATAAAAAAAACCAATAGAATAGCTTCTATTGATCTCTAACAATTTTACTTTTCACTTATTGTAAAACATATATTACTTTCTTACACTCTCTTCTCTTCTTTTTTAACTAACTTACACTCCCTCTTTCGCCTTAATTTTATGAAAAATGTAGAGAGGTACGTTGTTTCTCTTTCTCCTTGACATATTTTCATTTATAACCAGTTCTTCGTGTAGAATATTTTGTCACTTGGAAAATTATAACCAGTGACATAGAGAAGACTTTTGGCCACATGAAGCGGAGTCTAACTTGCAACCCCCTTAAGCAGTTTCCTCTTTCCTAGTCACAACACTACTGTTTCACTATGGTCTTCTTGACCAATTATTCATGCACTTTTACTATCAAATAAGTTCCCAAGCACTGACTTTTTATGCAACTACAAGAGGCTTCTCCTGAAACGCCTAGAATCTTCTGTTTGCTCGCTAAAAGCACCAGGATTCTCATCACCATGATCACAGAGGATTTTTTTTTTTTTTTTTTAACATGAAGCATAACTTCCAAATGATTTTCATTTTCCCATTTGCTTCAAATCAAGGTCCTATATTTTCATTTCCCACTTATAAGTTAGAAACTTAGTGTCCTTACAGCGGTATTTGTCAACATTTCCTGTGATTAGTTGAATCACGAAAGAGGGGCCATCTGCACTTCACAATTTGGCAAGTTTGTTTGGTCCCTGACCTGAGATTTCGCTTTACGATACTTGGTCATGTAAGTTTCCTAAATCCTTTCTGCAGAGGGTTTAACATATCTCGTTAAACTCTAAATTGTTGCAAAATTTACTTTTTGATTTTAGTTATTTAAATATTATTCATTTTCAAGATAAAGTAGCAGTTATGAATTATTCGATAAGCATAATTAGAAACCAGGCTGTCATACTTTTTAGTACATTAACCAATTAAGAAGAAAACAGAACTATTATTGGAGAAACTTAGCAGCCCAGTAGTTCCTTAACCATTTTATTGGTTGAACATATTCTAATGCTGACTCTGCTATTACTATTAGAACATGTGTAACTAGCGCTGATGGTGAAAATTGTTGTTTTCTTTTCCTTGAAAAGGTACAAATAATGTTGATCCTTGAGTATATTAGAAGTCAAAGACTAATTTTTTGCCTAGACTTGTCAACCCTTTCTATGCTTTTGGATCCACTTTGATTGTTGGAACAACAACCATGGAATACATTATTGCTTCTTCCTGTGAACTAAGCGTTGTGCTTGGTAGATATTAAAGCAGGGATGGGCTGAATATTAAAAGTTCAAATAGTTGATTGTAAAGATAAAGAAAGTTGAAACGCAATGAATGAAAATGGAATTATCAACATTTCAATCCATCCTTAACATTTTCATGTCTAATGTGAGACTAAAATCAAGTGAGGTTGCATTATAAACAGTTTAAACAAAACAAATTGAGCACCTTCTCCACTAAGAAACAAGTGGAAAACCCTCTTCACATTCAACCAAAAAGAACTCTGCCCTTCAATTTGACTTTCACAACACAAACACTTGCTAATGACTGTAGAAGGATGCAAAACTGTCCTGCGTAGCCAACTCCATTACTAGTCATTTATCAATTCCATATTTTCTTAATGATAGCATGTCAAAGTTTCAGAATCAATTTTCTTTTTTCAATTAGTACGAGAGGTATGGTTGAGCTGCTTTGTAAGAAGTATGAAAATGAAATGATTTTCTTACTCATTCGCATATCTTCTTTTGGAACCGTGTTCTTAACTTTTGCGTCAACTTCAACTATTTGTAGCCCACTTTTCCCCAAGTTAGCGTTCACAAACACGTTAACAAATAATATACTACTGTTTGTAACATAGGAAAACACAATGTCACTGATATTGTTTGATGTTTGAGTTAGCTCTGTAGCGTAGCTTACCAGGACATTGAAGATCATGACAATGCAAATCTCAAGTAAAAAGTTTGACAGAGCACCAAGCATTCGACAGCTATTTCCACCCAAAAATATTGAAGAAAGAAATAGATGTGACCCATGTTCTGTTCAGTTCATCAACCATGAATCTTATACGCCAGAAACCAGAACCCATCAGTGCTATAGTTCAAAACCACTACTCTTAAAAGATGTGGCTCCTAGCCCCAGAAATTCCACATCTTCTATTCCTTCCGATGCCATTGAACATACTGTATCAATACATCAACTAGTTAATCGCTCAAATGCTTCTGCAGTTTCATCATTTCAAGTTGATGATCAATTGGATGTTGAGCACATTAATTCTTCGGAAACCCCCTCGAGTTCATTTCCTGCCTTTCGTAAGTTCAACATGCCGACTGTACATGATTTAAAGTTTTGAACTCCGTGATCCATTACTTAAGCATCTTAGTAACTTATTGTTTCTAGTATAGGTTGCTAGATTTATAAGTATAGTGTCTCTCTGCCCAATGTGGTGTGGAATTAGTAGTTAAAATGTGTTGATATTCAAGGTTTGGATGACAGGAGATAGAATGGCAATGAATCTTCACATGTATTTACCCTTATATAGAGCTGCACTGAAAGGAGATTGGGAGAAGGCCAATGAGTTCCTAAATTTGCATCCTGGTGCAGAGAATGCCAGGATTTCAAGAGGGTGGGAAACAGCTCTTCATATTTCAGCTGGGGCTCGACGTACCAAAATTGTGGAGGAGCTGGTCAAAAGAATGGGGAGTACAGACTTGGAAATTCAAAATAAAGATAACAATACAGCACTTTGTTTTGCTGCTGCATCTGGGGTTACCAAGATAGCTAAGCTAATGGTGGAAAGGAATATAAACTTACCTGGCATACGAGGTAGTGAAGGGGTGACACCACTTTATATAGCTACATTACTGGGCCACAGGGACATGGTTTGGTATCTCTATTCAGTGACTGATCATGAGATTCTAAAAACAGAAGACTATTTTAGCCTACTAACCGCTGCTATATCTACAGATTTATATGGTAACTTTCGAAAACAAGTCATGACTCCATTTAAGAGACTTAGAAGTGGTAATAATTCATTCATGAACTTGGTTTCTCAGATTTTGCCTTACATGTATTGGAGTGTCAACCACAATTAGCGACTTATCATGGCTTGAATGGGGAGACAGCTTTGCATGTGTTGGCAAAAAGACCTTCATCATTTACAAGTGGCATTCAACTAGGCATCTGGGAACGATGCATCTATCCATGTGGGTAACACACCATGAAATTGTAAAATTGTTAAATTTTATGAGATCTTTTATTTCCTTATACTTTGAATGTCATCTTTATAAAGTCCTTATATAGACAGATTGTTTGATCTGCTTTTTGCTCCCTGTATTTATAATTCACAAAACACTGAGATGAAGTGTAAAGACCTATAAAAGAAAATGAGTCCAATAAGAAGTTTTTATTTATTTATTTTTTTTCAATGGAATGACATGGTGATATTTCTTTTCGAAGGGATCCAAGTCAACATAACAACGGAGTACAAATGTCAACCAAACAACTCGAAATCCCAGGCACCTTCGACTTCTCAAGGTATGCTATATTTTTCTGCTGCCAAATACAAGGGCAACATCCATAATGAAATAAGCTTTCACATTCAGAAGAAGCTTTAGATTTCATGAAGCTTTTTATCAAATTCATAATACATTATTAGAAAGATGATTGTTAAACGAAGATATTTAAACCATATAAACATAAAACAGAATCATAACATGAATAAAGAAAAGTGGTGAAGAAAAACAGAACAATTTTTGCATCTACTGAATACTATATTGTATTTTACACTCTAAATTATATTGAAGAAAAAACACATGAAAAATATCATCATACTTATACATGCTGTCAGAAAAAGATTATGTGCCTACTACATTTATAGTACTAATCGGTTGAAAATCAGACTAAATTCATAGCTTAACATTACCACTAATACAAATAAACTAATTGAAATAAGTAAACATAGTTACAGTAGTAAAAAAAATAAAAAGAGAAGAGTTTTATATCCAATTATATTAACAATGATTTGACACAATCATTGACAAACCTTTTTCAGTAATCACACTAAAAGACAACAAAAAAGTTTGTAGGGAATGGATTAATACTGGTCAATATAAAAACATCAACAATGACATTTCCATGGTCACAAACAGATATCAATATTCAACATATAAATGAGATGTTGCTTCTGCATTATGTCTATGAATCAGAATATTTGTCACGTTATTTATTGTTAAACAATGCATTATCGGATTGAAGTTGCAGATCTATTGATGACTGGACTCAGCCTGGCTGTAAAATATCTTGGTATGATGCCAACTTGATTGTCTCATAACTGTTATTTGTGAGTTGAGCTAACTTGCTGTAGTTATAGTGCCAGGATTTGAAACGGTTCAGAAGAAAAAGATATTGAACTCACAGGCTTTAAAGTTAGTTCAACGTCTATGGGAACTAATAGTGTCATCAGACGAAATACGACATGGAGACTTAATTAAAAGCCCTTTGTCACGGCCCCTATTTATTGCTGCTGAATTTGGAATACCTGAGATTGTAATTGAGCTTCTTGACTCATATCCCGACTTACTTTGGAAAGTTGACAGCCAAAATAGAAGTCTTTTTCACATTGCAATCATGTATCGTCAGGAAAAAATATTTAACCTGATTTATGACATAGGGGCACATAAGGATCTGATAACTGCTTACAGAGACAATAACAATCACAACATACTGCATTTGGCTGGAAAACTGCCCCCTACTGATCAACTTCATGTTGTATCTGGTGCAGCACTGCAGATGCAAAGGGAATTATTGTGGTTTAAGGTCATTGTTCTATGCCATTTTGAATTCAGCTTTCTCAGTTTAGTTGCTCATTTAGTATTTAAGGTTGTTTTGAAACATTTCATTTCTTGAATTTGCAGGAGGTGGAAAAGATCATACAGCCTCTATTGAAGGAGATTAGGGATTCTGAAGGTAGGACGCCTCAAATGTTATTTACTGAGGAACACAAGGGATTGGCCAGAGAAGGAGAGAAATGGCTGAAGAACACTGCTTCATCATGCATGCTAGTTTCAACACTTATTACCACTGTGATGTTTGCAGCAATCTTTACGGTACCGGGTGGGAACAACAACAATAATGGCTATCCTATTTTTATGAACACTACATCCTTCAAAATCTTTGCTCTCTCAGATGCTCTTGGATTATTCTCCTCAGTAATATCTATATTGATGTTTTTGTCAATACTCACCTCAAGATATGCACAGGAGGATTTCCTTGTGTCACTACCTAAAAGGTTGAGTGTTGGCATTGCGACCCTTTTCTTCTCCATCATTACCATGCTCATCGCTTTTGGTGCAGCATTTTTCATTGTACTTGGCCATCAATTGGTATGGATTGTCATTCCAACAACCCTTGTTGCATGTATCCCAGCAATATTGTTTGCCTTTTTACAGTTTCCTCTTCTTGTTGATACAATCTCTTGTACATATGGAGCTGGTGTATTTGCTCGTTGAGGTAATTAGATAAACACAATTTTGGTTTGAAGTATTGGTTTATGGCCAGCTAACTCTGCCTCTACTTAATTGTTATAAATGCTCATGTTCCGGAAATACTTGATAATATACTTAAAACTGTGGGTACAAATTTGGGTTTGGTTGATTTTGGTATGCGTTATAAATGAAAATGGACATTTTCTTCATTTTTTCCATTAAAAATGGCTGCATGATATTTAAGCAAAATTTGTTGCTTAGATACGTTATCAGACTATATTTTCACATCCTTTATTGTTTACTAGTACAAGAATGAAGAATATTTTTTGTCACATTTTCTTGTAGTCCTTTTGCCTTAACAATACTTAAGAATAGAGCACATTATACACTGTAAAGCCTCAATTTTCGATGAGTTGAATTTATTTTTACCACCCCGGATTTTTTTTATAACTACTTGTTCCTCTCAAGATGAGCTTGTTTAATGTTTCTTTATATCAAAACAGCCTTTTTTTTTTACTTGATCTACTCTTATTGCCAATCTTAAACTAACACAATGATAATATGATAACACAAATACCATCTTTAGAAATGAAAATTACTTCTATATACAAAAATGATAATATGCAACCGATTTTCTTCTCAGGTAGCAAGATAGGAGAAACAGTGACAATAATAGAATATAGTGATGTCAATTTCATGAAATCATATATGGTCAATGTTTTCATCTGAAAATATGCTTGTGTTAGGAATGTATAATATATATATATATATATATATATATATAGGATAAACCTAATAAAAAAAACATATTCAAAGACATATACAGTTGATTTGTTCACCTGTCTAATTTTGTTGCAGCATGTTCTGTTGTACTATTTTGACTTTCACTACTACTAGTAGAAATACCAATAACTGGTATACAAAAAACATCTACTAAGACAGATCCAAAGCTTTGGTTTTCAAAGGCTTTTAACGAATCTGAAAATGCGCACACAGTCTGAATGAAAGTGAAGTAAAGCCCCAACAACGCACCAATAGTTGAGACCCCCACCACCCAGCTGGTTAAATAGTGATGCACTAAGGAAGCTCTTTTTCTTGCATAGAAGGAGGCAAAGTAGGAGTTGGCTTCATTGACCACTTTGTACAAGTACGACTCATTTTTGTCCCGAATAATTTCTTTGGTGATGTTGTTGATTAGTTCAGACACGGTGTTGTCGTTGCCAAGAGAATGGTGAAGCACCCCTTTGTAATGAAGAAGAGAGACATCAACAGCAGAGTTGATGAGTCCATTGAAGAAAAACAAGTAGGTTGTCACGTCAGGTTTGCAATCCTTGTGACAGTTCTCAAATGCAACTATGTTACGAAACACAGTACCTTTGTGGTCATTGATGTACAAAGGAGGAATAGTGAGTTCTCTTGTTAGAATTCCCCATTTTTTCCCGAAGCTTATGTCAAGCAAGTGTTTATTCTCATCTGCTTTTATTTTCACACCAGCCTCCATCAACTCGGTTACAGAACGAATCATGTCATGTTGGGATTTTCTCGGTTTTTCTTCCTCCAGTTTTGGCCTAATGATTGACCTAAGAAGATCCAGAAAGTGAAGCCCTCTCAACTCCTCAGCTTTCTCACAATGTATAAAATTATCAGAATCCACCTGCAGCAAAGGGTAAAAGAATCGAAGAGCAAGCTCTTTGAGACTCATACATGGCCCCGAAGGAGCAGAAACAACACTAGTTAATTCAAACAACTTGCTCAAAACAAACATGGGAAGCTGGTTTTCAAGCATTATCATCTCGCGACGAATGATGGGCAACATCCATGGGCTGAGACAAGGGACTTTTCCGAATTCACTTGTCGATATTTCCCTCAAGAGCTGAACAATGAAAGAACCATCAACTAGCAACATTTGTAGAAACTCGTCTCTGTTCAATTTGATGTCCTCGTCGTAACATCTTCGAACGTACGGTTCTTGTTCCTCCAGGAACTTAAAAGCCTCGTCTAGTTTGGCACCATTTGCATCATTATTGAAGAGACGGCGATAGAACCTTTTCTTGAGGACCTCCATGTTTCTCAAGTGTGGTGCTCCATGGTGACAAGGACCAATGGAGATGTTGTTGGGTATATAAGCTTTGGGTTCGACCTGGCGCATGTTAGATGGGACACTGTATATGCAAACTGCATGGTGTGTTTCTTCTTGCTTTCCACTGTTTCCACTTTCTAACTCTTTCTTCATAACATCTCTCCAATTTGAGCTCATTCTCTTGGCAGTGCCGTGAAACTTTCTTGTGTTGAACCTGTGATTAACCAATCTTATCAGTTTTGCACATGCCATTGTATTGGAGTAATAGATTGAACTAGTTTTGTTCTCCTTTAATATCCTTGAAAAATAAGAAAACTACTTATAAGCTTCCAAAATTTATATAGAGCAAGGAAAACTTAAAGTAACAGAAGTGAAAGCGTGAGGAAAGAAAATCAATGAAGGTTGTGAAGAACAAGCAAACTATACAAAAAGAGAGATAGGAGAGAACACGGAAAACAGTGAAGTTATGTAAGAAAAATAAAGGAAATTTAAAAGGGAACAAGATTCGTTAAGATTAAGGATGTGGTTGTTCACTGGTTTTGAAAACAATTTTCTGTTTCTAAAATTATAGAAATAAGCAAACTTGTTTTACAAAATCTGTTTCCTAAACTCTTCTACTGTTACCAAATTTTTTTTCATTCTCCACTTCTCTCTTTTTATGTCGTAAAGTAAAAATGGAGAACATGTTTTTTGTACGTTGAAAGTTAGAAGTGCGTTAGAAGAAGGATGTTGTTTGTTACTGTAGGGTTAAAAGTAGGTTTAAGGGTGATGCTGAAACGGTGATCTAAAACATGAGCTATCTTAGGGCAAAATTCTTGGCTCTGTTAGAAGAATCTCTATTCCTGCAATATATATACACACAAAATACAAATTATGCATTTTCCCCATTGTCACTTCATAACTACGAATTTTTTTTTAATAAGATCAAATTCATTTTTCGTCTCTATAATTTTGTGAATGTATACTTTGCGTTTCTATAAATTTTTAATTATAGATTGGAATCACTATTTTTTTCTTCTAAAATTAAACAATTTTTATCTATCATTATCATTCAATTATTAAGATAAATATTAACGTATACGTATCCATGAAAATAAAAATATGTAATAATGTATTATACGAATAAGTAATTGACACTATTATCAATTACATAAATGTAATATTTGTGGTTAATATATTAACAGTGAATAAAATTTATTTAATTAAAAAAATTAGAGATAAATTTTTATAAGATCTAAAGTTCCAAACGAATATATAGGGACAACATTCGATTTAGGAAATTTAGATAATATTACTATTTTAAAACTCTTTACAATTTTTATATGTTTTAGTTTTATGTAAATATTTTTTAATCAAATGAATGAATAGATTTTCATGAGTTGACTTGATAGAACAGAAGACTTCACAAAGTCTTCATGAGAATGCATTTGATGTTAATTTTCTCTCTGAAACTCTTCGAAATTCACTAAAAACGTGTTTCGTTTAATCTATATATGGTGCATGACATGACTAATACATATTAAAAATTACTCAGCTTCACAAAGCAAACAAACTGGGAATTGCAGAATTCCACTAAGTTTATCTTTTGATCCACCTTTCACTTCCTAAATAACATACATATTCGTTCTTATCTCTTGCCTAATGTCAGAAATTACTATACCTATCATCATCATCATCGCAGGTATGATTTTAACCAACGAAATTTTTTTGGTTTGAATTCGTCTTCTGTTCTGATTTGGTTGTTGGATGGTTTAGTGATAAGATTTGAGTTCTGATTTACTTAATAATGCTAATGTATTGCAGGTGTCAGTTTTGTGATATTGTGTGTTATTATATGGTTACAACCCAAATGGAATTGTGGTCAAGACCCACAATTTATGACACTCACTATGGATAAATTTTTGAGCGAGATGAAAAAGGGGAAGCCATTATATTTAGAGCAAAGATATATATATATATATATATATATATATATATATATATATATATATATATATATATATTCCTTATATTTAATATCGTTTGAAGTGGTTAATTATTTACCCTTAATCAGTTTAGCCATTATTATATATTTTGTGAGCATATACGTTATTAAGGCATCATATATCATCTGCTGTTTCTGGGAGATTGTTTGGGTCTGTTATATATGTTCGGTATAACGAGAATTATTGATAATCAATAAATAAGGACCTCTATTTGATAGTGTCAAATATATTTTCTGTTAAAATCTAAGTGTTTTAAAGATAATATAGTTAAAACTTTTTAGAGTTTGAAGATTAAATATATGGCATGCAGATAAGAAAAATAAAACTCTAACCCTACAAACATGGAAAGATAATTTTTGCAAAAGTTGAAAGTTCTTTTAAACAGAAATAACTTCCAAACTACCTCAACATTTTTCATTAGCGTCCAGATAAAACTGATCTTAACTTGTCCAAACGTCATAAGTTGTTTACTACTGAAATAGACCAAACTTTATGTGAACACGTTCATAAGAAACCGAATTTCTCAAATTCCATACTAAATTCTAACATTCTTTTTTGAGCAGGTAAAAACATCTCATTTATATGTTATAACGTTCAAATACCTTTCCATGTATTAAATTATCAAATTTATTTTCGTATATATATATGTACAACTCGGAAACCAAGTGGTAAACTTACAGAGAGAAAGATCAGTCTAAAGAAAAAGGATCAGAAAAGTGGAATATAATAGTATCCAACAAAAACATAAATATAATACCTTTGGTTAATTATCTCATCTATTATTTCTCTCATAAAAGTTATGTGTCGTTTTGATTCAGAAACTGTGAAGAATTGTCCACATGGTTGGTTGATCAAACCAGACCCAGGAAAATCATCTCCACGACTATTAATATTTGCTCAAGAATGATAATGATTAATTATGGTGATTAGTTATATATATAGTATCGTAGTCTTGCAAT